GTTCAAGTTCCTGCTGAAGTTCAGAGAACATCTAGGCCATTTCGTTACTTTAACATGTGGAATAGCTCTCCTCAATTCCAGAATGTAGTAAAGAGCAACTGGGAGAAGACTGTTGTAGGCACCAAAATGTTTCAAGTCTTGTAAATTGAAGAGATTAAAGCATGCTCTCAAAGCTTTGAACGGAGACAAGTTTGATGATATTGTGGAAAAGGCCAATCAAGAACAACTGAAACTGCAAAGTGTGCAAGATATGCTAGCTAATGATCCCACTAATGAAATGTTGCAAAGGCAAGAGAGGAATGTAATGGAGGGATATATTCAAGCAAGAAAAGTAGCCATGAGCTTTCTCCAGCAGAAAACTAGAGAACAGTGGGTGGCGGAAGGAGATGACAATACTAGGTTTTTTCATTCAAAGCTTAAAATTCGACAGATGAGAAATTGAATTTGGAGTGTGAATGATGAATCAGGGGATGAGATTCGAAAATGGGAGAAGATCAAGGACCATTTTCTTCAGTTTTATCAACAGCTGCTTGGACAATCTGCAAAGAGAGAATGCTCAAAACCAAAAATTTTTGCTACAGGCCCAACCCTTTCAGTGGAATAGTAGCTCCAGTTAATCAAACCTGTTGAAAGTAGAGAAGTGAAGGCTGTTATCTGGGAAATGAATGACCAAAAAAGTTCGGGCCCAGATGGTTTTGGTGCAGGTTTTTTCAAGGCATCATGGAGCATAGTGGGACATGATGTCACTGAGGCAGTGAAGGAGTTTTTTGCCACTGGTCAGGTACTTAAACAGCTCAATACTACCATTTTGGCTTTAATTCCGAAGATTGATGTGCCGTTAAATGCTATCCATTTCCGTCCCATTGCCTGTTGCAATGTGATATATAAATGTATTTCAAAGATTATATGTAATAGAATGATACACCTTATGCCTGTGTTAGTTAACGAGAATCAAAATGCTTTTGTAAAAAATAGGCTTATCTTTTATAATATACTGATTACCCAAGAATTAATACGATTGTATTGGAGAAAGGGTATTAGTGGTAGAATGAGGATGAAAATTGATTTAAAGAAAGCCCATGATACGATAGAATGAGATTTTTTTAGAAGAAATGTTGTTAGGGTTTGGGTTTCCAGAGACATTTAGAGGTGGATAATGGCGTGTGTTACTACTCCAACTTTCTCATTGGCTTTAAATGGAACTAGTGTGGGGTTTTTCAATGGAAAGCATGGACTGTGTCAAGAGGATCCAATCTCCCCTTTGCTTTTTGTCTTGGCCATGGAGTATTTGACTCAGAGTCTAAGAGTAGGAGCTGATTCTGATTTTCAATTTCACCCTATGTGCAAAGGTCTGAAGTTGACCAATATATGTTTTGCAAACGATCTTATGATCTTCTGCAAAGCTAATTTGGTCATAGCTGAGAAAATTATGAATGTGTTTAATGCTTTTTCTAGGACCACTGGACTTGTTGCTAATTTGCAAAAATCCTCTACTTATTTTGATGGAGTTGATAGTAAGTTACAAAGAGGAAATTTGAAAGTTTAACTAAATTTGAATTGGGACAGTTCCCAATGAAATATTTAGGAGTTTCTTTGTCTCCTAAAAAGTGGTCTAGGGTGGAATGTGAAGAGGTGATTAGCAAGATAGTTTCTAGGATTAAGCGTTGGAGTTCTCAACACTTATCCTATGCTGGGCGTGTTGTGCTGATAAACTCAGTGTTGATGTCTATGCACTCGTACTCGGGTCAAATTTTTCTACCGCTGAAAATGTATACTAATGCTGTCAATGGAATTTGTCGGGATTTCCTTTAGGGGATCAAAAGTGGTGGTAGGTCTGTGCCATTGGTGTAGTGAGAAGATGTTTGTAGACGAAAGGAGGAAGGTGGCTTAAGGATACGAGATGCAAGAACCTGAAACAGAGCAGCTATACTCAAACAACTCTGGTCATTAGCCTTGAAAAAAGAATCATTATGGGTGAAGTGGATTCATGGAGTTTTTATAAAGACTGCCAATTTCTGGGATGTTCAGCCGAAAAATGACTCAAGTTGGCTGTGGTATTGAAGATAAGGGATCAAGCCAAAGCTGGTTTTGCTAGTAATAAACGAAAAGCTCATAGTAAAGGAATATATATTATAGCTTCTAGATACAGATGGCTTTCTGGTGTAGGAGAGAATGAGAAGTTTGCTAACAGTATATGGGCCAAAATGAATCTTCCGAAGCATGCTTTCATTTCTTTGCTTGCTTGGAGGAAAATGTTATTGACAAGTGATAGACTTATTGCTATGCAGATTGATGTTGATGATACCCAATGTTTATTCTGCAAACAGGTTGATGAATCAGTAGATCATCTGTTGTTTCAATGTGATTATTCTAAGAAGTTAATGGACTGTCTCAGGAAGTGGTTGGGGTGCAGGAAAATAGCATTGGATGCTAGAAGGTGGAAGCACCAGGTTGTTCATATGTGGTCAGGACTCAAGAACTCAGATGAAACGAACTGTGTTTGTAGCTGCTTTATGGCATGTATATATTATCTATGGGAAGAGAGAAATAAAAAGTTCTTTGAAGGAGTAGAAAGGACCCCTGACACTGTGTTGAAGCTGATCCAACAGGAACTCAAAGGAAGATTTCAATTCTAGATGAGGAAAAAGGCTAGTAGTTCAGGGAAAGCTATCATTCAACAACTGTTCAATTTAAAATTAGCTTGCTAGTTGGGATATTCATTTGTTTGATGTAATAGAATAGCAACAGGAAGTTTCAAAGAGGTAATGTTGCCTCAACAATTTTGTAGCTGGTAGAAGTTAGTTTTTGTCAGTTTCAGTTGTGATTCATATATAATTTTGGTGCTTTTGTGATTAGTAATATATTTATGATTTGACTAAAAAACCAAAAAAAAAACTAGAACAAATCAAAATGTCTTATATTAAGGATAGAAGAAGTAAAATTAGTGATGATCCTAATGAGGCCAGATAGAAAACACTACACTGAGTGTTTTGTTAGTTTTCACAAAATTTTTAAATATTTAATTTAATTTTCATATTTCCAGTTAAAACACTTACATTGATTACTACCGCACTGAAAATAACAATTCTACCTATCATAATATCTTTGAATTAACATTAAAACTATCCAATAAATTAGGACAAGTAAACATCAAAATACAAAATGAGTAGTGATACACATACAAACAACGATTATAAGAAATTTTACAAATAATAATGTAGATATAATCTAAATTGTGCTACTACTCTTCGATAGACCTTTTTTTTGGGGTAAAATTAAATTGATAAACTCTAAATGAAAAATACTAAAAAAATGTATAGATGTGTTTAATTTACATCATTCCTTGTCACGTTTGTTTATAAACTTTTCCTTGTCGGTACTATGTATAAATACGAATATTTATACAGAATAAAGTTAAGATCTTTCTCATCACTTTTAGTATACCAGTTCTAATAAGGAGATTGTTGACATATAGCCATTAAAAGTTTATCGAATTAGGATACTAGGGCTTGTTTGTTTGTCCTCTTATTTTGCTTCTTGTCTCATTTTCCCTCTTAAACACAAAATCCAATACACTATCTAAATATCAATTTAACTTACCTTTTAAAAAATATTTTAGACATTATTTTTACATAATTTTTGTCAACCGCCACCAAACCACCTCCACCACCGGCCGCCACGCCCGCCGCCGGCCGACGGCGATCCGGCGGTAGTAGTGGCGGCCCGGCGGTGGCGGCGGTGGTGTAGGTAGTCCGATGGTGAAGGAAAAATAGTCCCGATTGTCACTAAAATATTATAAAGTCTTTATTTTGGTCACTGAACTATTTTAATCACGTAGAAATGGTCACTATACTATAATAAAAAACTAAATTATATTTTAAATCTCCTCTCAAATCCAAATAAAAAACTATAACAAAAACGTTGTCTAAATATCACGGTTTTTTTTTTAAAAAAATAAATTAGATAGTGTTATTAGAAATGACACTTTGTCAATTTTGCTAGGTGTTACCTGACGCGTTATCCAAAACGGGTATTTATATACTATATTAAGGCAAAAACCAAAGAGAGAAAACTAAAGACATGGAGCACATGCCACATAGGATTTAATCCTATGTGGCATTTTCTTGATTTTCTAGACTTAAAAATGCACAAAACAAAATAATAAAACAAAAAAAAGTAACTGAAATAATTTAAAAAAAAAACAAAATAATAAACACCGAACCCTTATTTTCATGAACCAAATCCTAACATAGAGATTGATTGGAGAGAGTACAGGTTAAAATTGAAGTCATTACATATTTTATAAAAATATAAAATTTACATAAAGATGTCTATATGTGTATGCCTTCTCCGTCCATCGGACGGGTCTAACACCTAGTTATGATTCTATTCACTGGATAAATCTAGTGTTATCAGTTTCACTAAGATAAAATTAGTCTAATATCTACAGCCAAAAAATATATATAAATATATATATATTTCTCACCGAAATCCAATAGAAATATAGTTGAGCCCACCAGAAGGAAATGAGTGGCAGGTAAACACCACATAGATTAGCAGAAATAGCTGTTTCTGTCATACATGGCAAACGGCTCTCCTATTATCTGACAAACGAACCACACAATTCGTCCAATCACAGTTCCCATCTCTAATCTCCACTTCCACGTCATTTCTTTGGATTATATTCCGGTTAAAAACTTAAAAGAAGTATCAAATTTAATCTAAGCTCCAAGAACATTAATATTGCAAAAAAGATTGAAAGTGTCTTCATTCTTGTATTTTTCCCATCTGATTCGAATTATTTTGGAAAGCCCATTTCAAGAATTTTCATGGGTTGTTTTTATCTTGTTTAGTTTTGATCAAAGTTAACAACTTTATGTGAGTTCTCCACTTTGGTGTTGGGAGTTCAGATACATCTCTTTGTTGAATCTGAAAAATGAATGATTCTTGAACATATAATTGACATTTAGAGAAGAGGAGATACATAAAATCATATAAGAATGTTGCCAGTTTGCTCAGCTACCAGCACCTGCGCTTTTCATTCCCAGGTACTGGTTAATTTTATTTGTCAGTTGATTGGGTTCTCTCAATGTTCTTTTTTAGTTAAGTGTTGAGCCTCTGTTGTTTTTATATAGCATTCTGGAGAAGGGATTCCCGAATTAAATTTTATGTCCTATGCCATGTGGATGCCGCATTCTGATAGAAGCCAATCAATCATTGGGTTTGTTTGTGTTGAGACTGTTACATTGACATAACGCTTTATGCTATAAATAAGTGTTCAATTCTGTGAGGTACAGAGCTCCGATAACTAATGTGGTTTCCGAGTTATGTTTATGCTGTTCTAACAGTAGTAAATGAGAAATGTGGAGTTCTAAACACACTTGTTAGTACATTGATCAAATTGAATACGAGAAAATTTAGTACATTGATCAAATTGAATACGAGAAAATAGACTCTCTGTTTTCTTTTGTGGAGTATGATTGTTTGCAGATGATGTGCCATCTCCACCCTGAGACTGTTTCTGATAATTACCTAGGTAAGGCGACGAGAATGCAATTGACAATTGCGTTAGATGCCAAGCTCTGTAACAACTGCATTTGGTGTGGTGTATTTAGTAACTATATTTGGAACTTTGTGTAGGGAACATATCTCTAGTGTTAAGATCTTTATTAAGCTCGCTTTTGGAAAATAGAATACTGTTCCTCGGTGAAATGATGTGTAAGAATAATAGAATATGTAATATTTCATTTTGCTGTTAGAATGATATAAGAGTTGGCATTGTAGATGTCTACCATCCAATCTTGCATGTCTAAGTGTTTAGTCCTTTCTAGGCCCTGATCTGAACTAAAAATTTATATTTGGATGCCCAATGACATAGATAGCTTGGATGGTTTCAGCTTCTTGGATGTACCAGGCCTGCTATAGATGTTTTTTTTTAAAAAAAATTTTTATTTTAGTATTTCAAATGTTCTGATTAAATACTTCCGTCAGCAAGGGATCATGTGTAGAGGATAAACTATTATTTGAGAGACAGTTTGTGGCTTCTAATTCTTGATATTTAATTGTCAAAACCATGTTTAACAATACTATATTAGCAAATTACTGTTTCTGTACAAGTAGTTTTCAAATTTGTTTTCTTTGCTTTTTGTGCTTTCTTTACTATGCTGTGTGTTTGGGTACTCCTTGTCTTTTTACAATTGCAATTTAGGTATTTCTTAATCTCTTTTGCATGCCACTGAAGTTATCTGATTATACTGATCTTGCAGGTCTCTGTACATGGTGGATTAACTGTTTCTTCGTATTGGGCTGCCTCTGGAACTGCCTGTAAAATGATGGACCGGTTGGTCCCAGACTTTTCCAGTAGAGCTCACCATCTCGGAGCTTGCATGGAAAAAATGCCCACAAAATTATTCTATTCTAACTCTTTGGAGGATAGTGGACATCTGGGTTTCATTGAGAATAAGTATTCCTTTCAGAATGAGGTGGATTATCATCAACTTCTATTGTTAACTGATGGAAGTCAACCCAACCAGACAATAGAGAGGTCACTTGCCTTGGGAAATGAGATTCCCTATGTTCCAAGTTCTACAGTATCTGCTGATGAGGGGCAACTAGTGGTTTACACCAATCAATTCATCAATGATTCTGATATTCCAGTTGAATTAGCTAATTCAGATTCGATATCAACCTTGAATATTATTCAAGATGACCCTTCTCTACCATCTGAAACATTGAATATCGATAGTGAAACTGTATCTTCTGCTAAATCAAGTGCGTTGGATATTGCTGGTGGAACTAGCGAGTTCTTGAGTGACTTAATCAATAAAGGAGAAAATGCTTTGAACAGCTCACTTGATAACGTTTTGTCATCGGCAAAATCTGCTTTTCAAGAAGCTACTGAAGCAGTTGATAGTATCTCTGACAAGCTGAAAGTAGCCACTGACAGAACTGAAGAAATGGCAGGGTCTCAGTTGTCTTCCATCTCTACTGGCTTCAAGGAAGCTTCCAGTAAACTGGGAGTGAATGCTGTTGAAGGGTTGAGGCGTGGTATAGTTATCATTGAGGATTCCATAGCAAAAGGGTCTACTTCAGCTGCATATGCCTATGGTTCTTTGAAAAAGTTGCTCCCCTCGGAGATCCAAAACACACTGGACATCTCTGAGAACAAGATAGCTGAATTCTCAAGGCCTGTTGGATCAGCTTTTCTACAGGTAGGTTTCAATCTCTTTATCTGACATACGTTCAGTGTTCAAAATCTCATATAGAATCTTTATGCTGACGTACATATATATCGTTTTCCATTATGTCAATGCAAAGTATTAGTTTGAAGGTTTCAGTTGGTTGAGATTTTTGTGAATTCCATGTATGTTCCTATTAGAATGTAGAATTGCATCTAACATTCTGATGCAGACTCATAAAATTTCCTGCTAAATTTCACATCATGTCATATAGGGTTACAGCGCTTTGCAAGAATTTGAGAAGAATCTCGGTTTGGACCCAAATGATCCTATCATTCCATTTCTTCTACTGCTAGGAGCTTCAGCCACTTTATGGTATAAATGTCTCATTTCCTATCATTTAAGTTTGGGAAATTACAATATTTTTTCTTTTCTTTAGCTAAAGTATTATGGAAACTATATTGCTTTCAGATGTTTGCAGGGGTTGGTACTGGATATTTAATTACAGTGGATATACTGGAGACTTATCTGCTAAGTCAACTTTGGAGCTTGTGACAGGAAATGACGATGGCGTGTTGATTGATATTCGGACCGAGGTAAGAGATCATACAAGTTTCCTACTTTCATTTGTGGGAATTCAAAATGTTCAATCCTTTCATTTGAAAGACAATTGATAGTTTAACAAAAAAATATATTATCTTGCATTTCTTCTTCGTGCTATGGTTTCTTGGTGATATATAATACTGAACGAAAATAAGAATCTTCCATCCCTGACGTAATTAATCTTGCCACCCCCCTCTCTCTCTCTCTCCCCCCCTATTGGGCAGAATCTCAGGGAACGAGATGGTATTCCTGATCTTCGGCGAGCAGCTCGATATCGATATGCCAGTGTGGCTCTACCTGAGGTTGGCTAGTCAGTCTCTTATTTAACAGCAACTTACTTACTGCTCTGTGTGGATTTACTTGAAATTTCTTTGTTATTATTACTTTTTTTTTTTTTATAAAAACTTTGATTAAACCTTGAGATTTTGGCATGCACTTACCATGAAAGTTTTGGTTTACGTAAGGAATTGAAGAGACATGTTTCCATCTCACTCTAATTCCCGTATTAATTCTATTGTTTTCATGAATTTCAGGTTGACAGCAATCTTAGGAACTTGCTCAATGTAGGGCGGAACCTGGAGGATCTGTTGATTGCTGGTGTGATCCGAAACTTAAAAATTGTTCGAGTATGTCTGTTTTGCCTATGTGTTAAAATGTCCTGCGTTGTAACTGATGCATTCTGTTGCGTTCCTAAATAAGTCGGGGTTATGTAGTTGTCAGAGATATGATTATCATGTGAAGCAATACTTCACTCTTTTTCTAGAAGTATACTTAACAAGAAATAAGAATAAAGCTGACTTCAGCAATTAATTGGGTACTTTTGGAGAAAGATTAAATTATTGCTCTACGTGCTAATACCAGCTGTGGCAATAACATCATCCACAACCTTGTTTTGGTAGTAGGAAAACTTGGAAGTTTTGGTTCATAGGGGAAGAAAAAGATGAATTAGAGATGTTTTGATGGCTATTTAATATCAGCAGCATTATAAACAGGTCCTTTGTTTGGCAAAACTACAAAGCTTGATATCTGCTAACTTAAAGGATGATATTCACATGACTGTAGGAAAATTCCAAGGTCATAATTATGGATGGTAATGGTGTCCACTCCAAAGGAGTAGCAAGAGCACTGAGGAAACTTGGAGTTAAGGTAAATATGATAATCATATCATAATTCTCTTATCCTCATATTGAAATTCTTCCTAACCAATGCTTAGACACTAAAAATAAAATTGAGTCACCCTTTATTACCACTTACCAGACCTTAAATATTTCATCATTGGTGAACATTTCGTTGTGTTTAGAATATATTACTTTGGTTATATCAGAGCAAAGTTGATTAGTTCCTTGGGCAAAAGCATGCATCTTTCCAATTGTATGTTGGAAAAATTCCTTAAGCATTAATGAACTTCATGCCTCATCTGAAGTGCTTGTACAGCATACTGGATTTTGATGCTTGCTGCGGTTTCCATTGTGTTCCGGCTGATACTAATCCTTGTGTTTCACATCTGCTAACAAATTTTAGACTATCTTTGTTTAAGTTTTCAATGTTAGATTTCAACTTCTTTTCCTTTAATGGTAGCATGAGCTGGTTTTTCTGTCTACAATAAGTTACATGATCAGATCTCCACATTCAACGACAACTGGAGTATTTCCTGTCTGTTTTTTTATTTGGGCTTTGATTACAGCTATAAATTTGAGATGGTAATCTTCTGTTTATGATTCATATTTTAGAACTCGTACCTGCTTCAAGGTGGCTTTCAGTCTTGGGTTAAAGAGGGTCTTCGAGTTAAAGAGCTAAGACCAGAAACTACTCTTACAATCCTTAACGAGGTATCTATTTAACCCCTGGAAAATTTGAACATTTTCTTTCTTAATGTAGTTGGAAGTTCTGTACTTCTGGTAATGCTTTGGAATTTTTCTTCTCATTTTTTTAATCGCTGGCAAACGGGTTTTTAGTTGTACAACAATTTGATTTATAAATTGTCCTCCGTTTGGTTCATAATTCTTCAATCGTCGGCATCCTTATTGATTTGTGGAAGGAGTTTCCCTTTTTGACAATATACATATTCATTAAACATAATCACATAGCAACGGTTTGAGAGGAAAAAGAACAATTGTGACAGTTGAAACCAGGGACCTCGGATTTGTTGCAAAATAATTCTTCCGAACTATGCCCATGGACATTTGTCTCTTCAGAATCGACCTCTCTCTCTCTCTCTCTCCCTCTCTCTCTCTCTCTCTCTCTCTCTCTCTCTCTCTCTCTCTCTCTCTCTCTCTCTCTCTCTCTCTCTCTCTCTCTCTCTCTCTCTCTCTCTCTCTCCCTCTCTCTCTCTCTCTGTCACTCACTGTCATATGTCTGCTGCAATTTGTTATCAGGATGCTGAAGCTATCTTAGAGGATTTGAATCCTACACCTTTGCGGCTTCTTGGATTTGGAGTAGTAAGACTCAACTCCCTGTTGTATCTCATGGAATTTTAAGTCTTTTTTCTATTTATCACTTTTGTCAGAGATTGCTAGGATTGATGTTTGCACTTGTGCCCGTGGCACTTTTGGGATACTATCCTCATGCAATATAATCTTCCACGCGAGGAACTTCCTTTCTAGTTTCCTGATCTAAGGAGTGCACTTAGTCTCATTTTTATGGACTGAGTAGAAGCTAATGACTCAAATAACTTGCTAAAGTAAACCATGTAAGAATTAAAGGAATGCCATTGTTTTGTAGTCACATTTATATTTATTTTTTAATTTCTTAAATAAATCATCATGATCTGTAAAGTTTTTGCTCCTCTGTGATGTCTTGGAACAATTTCATCAACTTGATTAACTTCCATTTAATTTAATCTATCATTTTCACATTGCTAAAGCCAATCCTTTTCATTAGCTTGCTATTTTTCATTTTCACTTTTCGGAAGCTGACCAGTATTCCCTGTCCAGGGTGTAATTGCTGCGTCATATGCGGCATTAGGTGAGATTCTTTCTTTCCTTTTGTCTCTGTACTTTTGTGTTTTTGTGTTTCTTTGTATTTGTAATCTTACAGTCAGGATAATAAGATTTTTTCAGACTTATTGTACTTGCCAGTACTGCAACTTTATGTAGCTTCTACTCAAAATTACATTTTATAAATTGCAGTAATCTTGGAAAGTAGATATGTTTACATGAAAAATGAAATTAGATCTTAAAAGTCAAAAAGATTGGTCTGTGATGGATGTACAACAGCTGGTAATACATGGGCAAAGGCAATGCAATTTTTTTCTTTATTACATGCTCAACAGGAAATTAACAATCATATTTGCTATGATAAAAAGTGATATTGTGGCGATGGGGTAAGAGAGTTGAGTGGGACGCCTTGGAGTTTAGGGTGGGGGATCGTTTTTACCACACTGTCGGGGAGTTTAAACCTTCTTTGACAATCCATGTTTTGTTTTTCCTTTATATAAAGAGATGTTGTTGGGATGAAGCAGCAGCTGTGTTAGTCTGTAGGGTATAGCGCAACGATTATCTTACATTATTTGACAGAGATTAGAACCCTATCTCCTTTGATTTAGCCAACTTCTGACTGTTATGTGTTTCTATGTGCTGTAGTTTTTTGAAGGGAATATGTTCTACAGTCACTCTATAACGAAGCTTAGTAAATGAAGGAATGTTAAACACAGAAGAGCTTAAGATTTTCTGTTTAAAGCTTTTCTTGGATTGATTTGCTATCATCTACTGAAATACCTCTACTTGCAACTTGTGTTTGTTCTTCTGTTCATGATTTTGAGGGTTTTTTTTTTTCAGAGTGGGAGAAGACACTCCAATTTATTGGTGTTTTAGGTCTAGCTCAGGTAATTTCCTTCCTCTTAGCTCCTTCAAAGAAGTCAATTTTCCTTCTTATTTTCAAAAATTACGAAACATTCAGAATAGAGATAAGACACTAAATGGTGAAGTTGAGCTGTGTACTTGTTGCATGTCTTTTTAAAATTTAAATTTCTTGTGTAATTTGAAATTCTCGTTGTTCCATTTTTTTTTCAACTTTTCGAGTGTCAACTTTGAGTGACTCAGAGAAGCCTGTTTATCCATTCAATTTATATTGTTAAGGAGATTTATAGGTTTTTAAGCAAAGCCTTGTTTTGCTATGACGAGTTTGCTATAGCTTGATTCCTGTTTCCACTTGAGAATTGATCGCTGTCGTTGTCTATTCTTACTTTGAGGAGTAGTTGCCTAATCTGTTTTATATATCAATTGCTTACTTTGAGGAGTAATGCCTAACCTGTTTTATCAATCAAAAAATTTGGTCCTCTTAACTGCAACATAAATAAATTGGACAAACTTTTAGGAGTAATAACCAACGTGAATAGAAATTTTACAGAGCTATTAACCCTTTACGCCGTGTTAAATTGTACATCCAATACTGCTGCAAATAGATTGACATATTCTATTTTCTAGATAGAAAATGCATTGCACTTAACTTTTAGATCACCAATTATCCTTCCTTAGTTAACAGAAATCGTTTAGTCTTAAACTAAAATTGTTCTGTAACTGGTAAACTTACATGCACACTGCATTGCATACCTCATAATCATATATTTGAAAACTTTGACTTATGCACCAATTTTGCTTTTCCATTCTTGTCTGTTGTGAATAACAATTACTTCAATGCACATTTAACTTGGTTTGCTGGAACATCATAACCAGAGTATCTATAGGAGAGTTTCTTCGTACGAGAATGCAGAGGATTTTAAGCAAGATGCAAGGTAAAAGCTTATTTCGTGGTTTATTGATTTTTTGATATTTTATTGGATAGCATTCATTTATCACTGTTAGTATTCTGTTAGGATTGTTCGTTAACTAGATACTATGCAAGATGCTAGGCAACTAATTTTTTGGTTATTACTTTGATTGCTTTTTTCGTGCACTCACTTACATGCATTAGAAAACCCTTGCATAAAGGGCGACTGATGAGAAATGTCATGAACTAATGACTGTAGTAACAGAATCACTCATATATCACGAGGTTGATGGATTCAAAAGATTTTGGACGGCATTTTAACACGTCAATTTCGTCCTCTTTGTTTCTGTACCTGCTTGGACACACTTTCAATTGTTGATCATAGCTCTGCAATAGTCTTCTGAAATATCAGGTTTTCTTGGATAAACTTAAACAGAGTGCAAATCATGAAACTGTTTTTCCAATTTCCTTCCAGCCTGCTGCTTGCTCCGGTCAAATTAGGAGGTGAAGCAATATCATGGGCATCTGGCAAGCTGGAAACAGGCCGCAACGGGCTACCAACGTCGCCATCATCTTCAGATGTTCAGAACCGGGTGCTGCAAGCTGCTGCAAAGCACGAATCTCAACCATCTGACGGTGAACAAATCGAAGGCCAATCTCCTGAACCAGTAGCGTCTATGAATGAAAAGGTGGATCTTTCAGAAGCATAAAAGTCAAAAAAATTTTGGCAGTTCACTCTAATCTCTAACTGGTTTTCATGTAAGTTGTTTACAAAAGGGCCAATGTGAAGGATATCTGTCGGGCTATACTACTCGATCGAAATCTTTTCTTGTACAAATATCAGCCACTGAGAATTATTAAACTACGTACAATAATCATAACATGCAGCAACATGATGTCATGCTGCTATGGTTTTTCATTTCGATTGAGTACATAAGAGACGTATATTAGGCTCCAAACTGAACCATTACTTTTGGTGATGCAATTCGAAAAATGTCACTCTAAAAGATAATGTTTTGTCGTCAAACAATCATAACATCAACACTAACATACCCAATATCTTCTCAACTAAAATGGGATTGAGGGTCAAATATACACATATCCTTGTAATAGACCATTGCGATTCAAGAAACATTACGCCATTTGAAATCCCTTTTACCCTATTAAAGCAGAATACAAAATGTTGATGTGTCAATTTCTTATTAAAAATTTTTGGCTCCAAATGCACCATATTGCATTAACCATTCTGCCACGTGTCATCCCTTTTTAAAGAAAAAAAAATTCTTATCTGGAGAAACAAAAGTTACTTTATAAAAATAGCTACACAATTTTAATTCCTAACATTTATCATTTACCAATCAAATTAAAATAATATTTAAATTTGCCTATAAACTTATCCCATTTATTACTCCACATTCTTTTGTATGATTTCTGCATCGTTATACTTTTCAATATTTTTTTTCCTTTGGCAGATGATTTTTTATTTTTATTTTTATTTTTGGCTAAAAAGGGGAAAAAAAACCAAATGTGTAGTTATTTTATTTTTTTCAAATCAAGAATTCATTTATCTATTAATACAAAATTAAAGTAGAAGGGCGCCCGGACATCTACCTGGGCCAAGCATCTAGTATTAATTTATAGCAGAAGCATTAAAATTTAATAGTCATTTTGATTTTGTCTATTATTAGAGCAAGAAAAAAAAAATCGATAATGATTCTTCCGGGGGCATATTTGTTGTCAAACAAGCACGGAAGGAAAATGTGATTTTATGCGTACTAATTCCCTAATGAATAAAATTACATTAAACTTTCTCTGTTGGTCCTTATGAAAATGTTTTCCCAATTTATAATTAGGTTTTTTTTTTTAAAAAAAAAGAATAATAATCTACATATAAGGATTGTGGTGGAGTGGTAAAGATACCTCCACCTTTAATCATAGGTCAAAGATTCGTCATGGGCATGGAGCAACCTTGAATCCTTTGGCCAGCTCTCCCAACTATCGAAGTGCCTACCATGAGCGAGGGGAATTAGTCATTGTTACTGACGGTGGACACCCTGTAATATGAAAAAAATAAAATAAAATTTGCTGACAGTGACACCCGGGGATTACTCACTATTGCTGACGGCAGGATACCCTGCAATATGAAAAAAAAAAAAAATTACTGACGGTGGACACCTTGTAATATAAAAAAAAAAATAGCATATCCACCTTTCTTCATGGTAGACGGTCGCTATTTTACACCTTTGTTTGACGTTAGTTACCGGTTTTATTTTTTTCCGGTATTTAGCCTTTTTCAAATTCCAAGGTAAGAAATTTCGAGAAAACTATAAATTTGGTTACTCATTTGTTCTGATTCTTGGGTCGAACTTATACTCCTTTTCATCTCTTCCAATTTTCAATCAACCCAGTCGTTATTGCCAAGCTTCCATCCCTTGATTTTGAGTTTTTCGACTTGAAGAAAAAGAAGAAAAGGGAGCAAAAACAAACAACCACCAAAAAATTGGGAGGTAGTATAATTTAGTTTTTCCTTGTAATTGAATCAATTAAATCACTATAATTACCAGTATAATTGAAATTGGATTAATTAAATCACTACAATTGCTGGATTTCCACCCCTTGTAGTTCTGCTTTATTTTGTTGATGATTTTCATTGTTGTTGGTCTGGATTTCTGATCTAAATTTCAAGAAACTATTATGTGGTTTTGTTGCGTGCTAGGTGTTTGATCTTAGGTCTAGCTTCCTTTATTTCAAAAGATTGTGACGAAAAAGATAAATTTTGTAGTCTATAATATTTTTCTAATTTGGACAATTAGTTCGTATGTCTATTTGGTATGTAAAGATGGATACGGAATATCATCTTGAAGATTAAGTCTACAAGATTCATTGTTTCATTTCATGTTTTCAGTTTCTTTTGATTTCAAATATCTCAGTTTTTGTACACTAACTTGTGGGTGCGTTCCTTGGTCAGTCCACGAGAGAGCCCCTAAATTACCTAAAAGCCTTGCAAAGACTAAACCACATAAAACGTCCGTACATTTGATCGAATAATCATTTTCATCCCGTGTATTTGAAAATGCTCATTTACGTCTCATTTCGTCGAAAAAGAGCTATTTTTCGACTATTTACGTCCCAACGTAACTTTCCGTCCGTTTGACCATGAAAATGGAGGGTATTGTTGTCTTTTCGCTCCTCTTCTGGTTTTCAAGTATTTAAGGAATAAAATAATAATTAAATAATAATAAAATAATTATAAAATATTTATAAATTTCAAAAAATCAAAAATAAAATTTTCATCAATTTAAACGGGTGGGGCCGCAGTAAATGAATTTCTTTATCATTTACCACTGTGAACAGTAAAAATTTTATAAAATATTAAAAAATTTTAAAATTCAAAAAAAATCAAAATTCAAAAAAGAAAGTAAATTGGCTCCATTTACCTTCTTACCCACGATGCTACAGTAAACCCTAATAGTAAATTATTTTTTTTTCTTTACAAAAAAGGGGAATGGCCGCTTTCTCTTCTACCATCGCCGTCTCTCTCTCCCACTATTAACACTTCTTCTCTTCCTACAAACCAACTCAGATCTAGCGATGGCCGCCTCCAGCAGTAGCAACAACGGTAATAATTTGTTTAATTATCGGTTCGATGAACATATCTGCAATGAATGTAGGTCGACATGCACAATTAAGGTATCAAGTAGCAGAAATAATCCAGGGCTGCTTTATCACCGTTGCCCATATCACGGTTTTGTAACCTGGTCGTTCCGATCGGAGATGCTGGGTACGGGTCAAATGATTTAAGAAGAAGGCACGTTGGGCGGGTGGATACAAATTATGAAATTGTTAATGATGGTAATCGCGATGTGGCGAGGGATGCAATCCCATTTGCAAGTGTAACTGCAAGTGGGCAAATAAAATTCTTGTATTTCTTCATGTTAGCTGTTTGTTATGTATTCTAGTCCTTCTGGTTTTAATAAGTAAGTGATAGTGTATTTTGAGTGCATTTTGCTTCTCCATGTCAATCATAATGTATCGTAGTGGAATGTCGATCTGTGAGGGAACTTTGATTTGTGTTTGGTTGTACCAAGTTTGGAATTGAATGAGTAATTTGTGCAACTAATTTCGTCCCCTACTTTCTATTGAAACATTTTTCATCCCTTACATTTGTCTGGAAACTTTTTTCGTCCCACGTTACGTGGTCAAACACCAAATACTGTTTAGTCAATACAAACCCTATAAAATATGGTCCCACTCTTGTTGGGTAACATAAAATAGTAAGGTAAGGTCAATAAGTAGTGCATTCCCAGATCTGTAAAAAAGAAACCAGAAAAAAACACATAAGGGTTGCTGCAATGGCTCTCCCAAATCTGCCCTTTGGTCCACGTCCAAAAGACCAGAATGATGACTTCCTTCCAGTATACCGTAAGTATGATTATAATTATACTCGATCTAGGATATGGTTCTGCATTAATAGTATTTTTTTTATGTTGTTTAATCAGTTAGCAGCAGCAGTTTTGGGAGCATTCAAATGTACTATGGTGGGTGTCTGTATGAAAAGCCCTATCCAGTTTATCATGGTGGTGAATTTAGGATGTTCGATAATGTGGATCTTGAAACCATTTCCATTCTTCAATTAAATGAGATGGCACGGAGGATTGGGCTTGTCAGATCTGTTTCATTCTACTCTATTAGTGAGGTTAATGGAGTGGAGAAGATAGTGGAACATCGGACAGTTTCCCTCATGTGTGTTGACGCTTTGGATGGCAATAGATTAGTTGTGGTTTATGCATTTGACGAAGATGAAGAACGATGTTTTGCTAGAAATGATTCATTCACGCATGGTGACCCTGATGATAGTGATGATGAAGATGACGTCCATGGAGTTTTGGAAGAGTGTGAGTGCAAATCTTCATAATCTGAATGTTATTGTGAGATTCCTAACCCACAGCAATTGATTAGGGCCTTAGCCTATGCATGGGTTTGCAAGGAAGCCAAGGATTAATTTCTTGTATACTTCAAATCCTCTTTAATAATGACTTCAAAGTTGTAATCCTTTATCTTTTGTTGCATTTGTGTAAAATTTTATATTTCGCTACAAATCTGAACAAAACGTTCAACGAAGTCGAGTATTTCTACTTTATTTTGCAATTTAGCGTATGAAAAATCCCGACTTGCATTATTTTTAGCACAAAAAATAGTTAAGGATTTAGATGTATAGGACAACAATAATTAATGATTTTGATGTTTAGGACAAAATTAGTCAAGGATTTAGATACATAGGACCAAAATAGTTGAAAGTCTTGATGTACAGGACATAAATAGTACTTTGAGGTTTAGTACCAAAATAGTTAAGGATTTAGATACATAGGACAAAAATAGTTAAAGGTTTTTAAAATCCTGATTTTAATAAATCTACGATAATAGGACTTTAATGTATCGATTCTAAGTCTACTAAAATCTTAATCCGTGTTAGAATCTTAAAAATCACAAATTACTGATGAAATAAAAAAATTAACTACAAATCTACAATACCATCACTTTTAGTCTTTCACAGTTTCATTTACTCCCTGTGGGGAAAAAAAAAGAAAAGAAAACATCGGTTCCTCCTCTGAAAAATCGCCAACAATCCATACTTTAAACCAAAAGTTAAACAATCCAAGCTAAACAATCCATACTTTAAACCAAAAACTAAACAATCCAAGCTAAACAATCCATACTTTAATCCAAAAGCTTAACAATCCAAGCTTAACAATCCATACTTTAAACCAAAATCTTAACAATCCAAGCTTAACTATCCAACCAAACTACCAAAAGCTTAACAATCCATCAGCTTTAAACCAACAGCTTAACAATCCAAGCTTAACTATCCAACCAAACTACCAAAATACATCAATATGAAGAACAAAAGCCTAATACAACAGTGCCCTAATCTGCTTTGGGTGGGATTGTTGCATCTTCCGAATCCTGATTACCAGCTGCATCTTCTGTGGGTGGCATATTTTCATTTGGTTCTCTACTGTACATATCAGCAATGGTGGTTGTACATGTTGTCCGATAATGTCCAGTTTTCTTACACAATTGACATTGAACAGTCCTTTTTGCCTAGAAATTTAACATCATCAATTTAGAGAGAAAAGAAAAAAAGATAAAGTAAATGAACAACATCTTGTACATGTTGAAAAACAATGTACCTTCTTTTTAGGCTGGCCCTTGGTATTGGGTATCTTCTTCCTCTTCTTAGACTGCTCAGATGGAACAGCTCCACCAGTACACTGCCTCTTGTTATGTCCTTCAAGGCCGCATTCTGAACACTTGTAGGTCATTGTGCCAATCCGAGATAGAACCTCAACATCACCTTTTTTCTTTACACGCATTTCCCTCTACTCTTCCTTAGTCTTCTTTCTAGACTTTGGAGGTCGTCCAGCTAGAACAATTTTGTCAGGAGGCATAATATCTGGTTTCTTCGTCTTTTTCCACATTTCTTCACCATTTGTGGGATAAATGACGTACTTGTAAGCAGTTTCATAAGCTGCCTTCGAGTAATAACTGTGCACATAAGCTTCAACGGGCTCCTTAGTATGACCGATTGCTGCAATTGCGTAATGGCAAGGTATGCCTGTCAACATCCACCTTCTGCACGAGTAAGTTCTAGCCCTTAGATCCACTGTGAACTGTTCACCACTCCTAGTACTTACTTGATAATTCCATTCTCCAGCATCCACTGCCCAGCACTCACCTGTTCTCTCCTTTAATTTTTCCAGATTCTTCCTTATTCCAACAACATCAACCAGTTTAGCAGCAGCTTCCCTCTTCTGACAGTGTCTCTCCATAAGATACAAAAACATCCATTTTAGCAAGGCCAATAAGGCCTTTTTCCAAGCAGGAAGCAATACCTTGTTTATGCACTCGGAGATATTGTTCACCGAAACGTAACACTTCGCATGATACTTGAAATGTGACCTTGTCCAGTTCTTAGGGTTTGTGTTGCTCCTCAATCAATCGATAGCCTGGGGCTCTAGAACTCTCAATTGCTCGATGATGGTCTTGTACCTTGCAGAATAAGTTGCTCTAGCTGTAGCCCACAACAAGTCTTTCAACGATGGGCTTCCAAATGCCGTTTTGAAATTGTTGTGCATATGCCACACACACATTCTGTGCTCAGCACCGAGAAGACATGTTTTTACTGCCTTAATCAATCCCTACAACAAAGCAAATGATTAGTAAACCTAAAACTCCAAAACAGTACATTAGCAAATGCATACAAACAATACACAAGTCCTAAACCTAAAACCCTTTAAAAACAGTACATTAGCAAATGCATACAAACAATACACAGGTCCTAAACCTAAAACCCTTTAAAAAGTAATTGAAAAAACACACCTTTTGCTTGTCACTAATAATCGTCCATTTGCTTGGATCCTTGATGTCCAAATCAATTTGGAGGTTCCTGACAAACCAAGTCCCGGTGTATGTGTTCTCGGTCAGCACCACAACATATGCAATAGGGTATGGTATGTCTGGTCATTCGGGTCAATGCCAATTACAGTCAGCAAAATGCCTGTGGTAGGTCCCTTCAAGTGGCATCCATCAAGGCCAACGATTGGCCTACAGGCTTCTTTGTAACCCCTTTTAGACGCGTCTAAGCATATATAAATGCCTTTGAATTTTTCAGTACCATCTGGCAGATCTTCCGTATCCAAATCAATTGTAGAGCCTGGGTTTGTTCTAAGCAACTGAGCTTTATAATCGTAAAGTCGTTTGTACTGACTTACAATATTACCTTCAATCATTTCAATTGCTAAATTCTTCACTCTTTCTGCCTTGCCCATGTGACATACATATTGATCTTCGTATTAAGTTTCTCCTGCAGTTGAGTCACCGTTGTCTGGGGACATATACGAATATCCTCCATGAACAGTCTTGCAAGATACTTTGAACTAGCATACCCATGGTTGTGATCCCTATCACCACAACTATGTTTCTTGTTGAGGCGGGAAACATTCCAGTAACACTTTTTAGGCCTGTTACGAATAATGACATGCCAGTTGCAGTTACGTTCAGCACCTCTACACATTGCGTGGCACCTGACTTTACCATCCTTTTTGAAACGTATCTGTTTCCCCAGCTTCACACCTTAATACTTGCACAAATCTTTGAACTTCTCCTTCATAGAAAACCTCAACCCAATTTCCCACTTTGGGTTATCATAATCTGTATTTTTGTTGTACCTTCTAAACATTAGTCTTTGTGTTCCATCAGATTCACACTCAGTTTCTTCACCACTGAGAAGTTCTTCGGACTCACCAGAACTCTCCAACTCTTCATCATATGCAACAAATTCAGGTAGTAGTTTGAACTCAGGTTCCTTTAAAATCTCATCACAAACTTTTGCCCTCTCTTTAATGATAATTTCTTCCTCTTTTGTATCCAGGTCATAGTCACTGTCATGGAATTCAGCATTTCCATTTGGCTCTACCTCTTTTGCCCTGATCTTCTCCAGCATTTCAGCAAGGATATCATCATCAGAATTATACTTTGTACATGTTCTGACCACTTTCTTCTTCTTCTTCTATTTCTTCCCTTTTCCCTTTCCTCCTTCACTGTTGCAGTCTTTTACTGAACCAGTTGCTGTCTGCACTGCTTCTTCAGAAGTGTTGCGTTGTTTATTTGAACAAGTGTTGACCTCAGCTGCTGCTTTAAGTCCTTCACTGTTGCACTCTTTATCTGAACCAGGTTTTGCCTGCTCTGTTGCTGTTGCATCACTTTCACTGTTGTATGTTTTTTCATAAACAATGTTCACCTCAACTCTTTTTTCATCACCAGCACACTTGGACTCTTTGTCTGATCTAATTTCTTCAACGTCTCCTTCTTTATCACAACCAGCATCCGCACCAGAATTTTCCTTATCTTCTCCTCAGAATCTCTACATCTGGTCCTTCATCACAATCTATACTCTCCAAAATCTGTACATCAGGACCAGAACCAATATTGTTCTTCTTTTTTGCACTCAGTTTCTTATTTTTCTTCGTCTTAACAGCAGCCATCTTTTGTCTTGGTTTTGGCCATGGACCATTTAGAAGCTTATTTACCATACGTGGGGTGAGAACTTCCCGTGTAAGCTGACTATCAACCGGGTCATCTTCATCATCAGAAAGTTCACCGTCTTCATTTGGGTGCACCACAAACAGATCAACCAAACCATGCTCTAATCCAATTGAAGCCATGGTATTGTAGAATCATTGGAATACAGCAGCGCCAATCCTTCGTTCATGTCCTTTCCATGTTCCAGGAAATAATAATTTAGGTTACCAGGAATTTTCATATCCTCATGAAGAAATGCATCCACTTCTATTTTTGACCAGTAATCTGCATTGCATTTTTGCATGGCGGTAACATATCCACCTCTGTACAATCTTCCAGGTGACTTGGCTATAAATCCATTATAATGGACCCGCATAGTGAAGAAACCATCTGCACAAAACCCACACAAATGTCAGCAACTATTTTGGTCCAATACTTTTTAGCAGCAACTATTTTTGTCCTATACATTTTTGCAGCAACTATTATGGTCCTATACAAATTCAATAGAAACTATTTTAGTTTTATTCAATTATTGAATCTATTTTGACACTGCACTTTCATCAATGCACGAATAAGACAAATTAACAGTACACATCAACTTAAATGCACAAGTTCAAAGACAAAAAAAAAAAAATATTCACAATCCATTGACCTGCTGTAATTTAAAAATCGATTTCCCTTCTCCAACAAATAAAAGAACAAAAAAATATTTTAACTTACATCTGCGGCATGAAGTTCGACAACGACTAAAAATTGCATAAGGAAGATGCTTTTTTGAAGAAAACTTTATCACATTCATGTCCCACTAAAATCCTTTCTAAGTTTCAGACAAGGACCCATATAATAAACAGAGCCACCAAAAAGTTCTAACTTTTAATCTATTCATGCGACCAAAACAGGACCCATACAATAAACAACTCTTCTGCTTCTCTTTCGACAGATATAGAGACAAAGAACAAATTATTGACATACAAATATCGAGTTTTACACCCTAAACTCACCTGTATTAAGGTCTGGTTGGATGCTTCGGATATTAGATTTCGTTCGCTATTTTTTTCACCTGATGAACTCCGATTTCCTCGATTTGCAGAAACCCAGATTTAATCGACCACTCACACTCCAATTCTAGTCCATCTCATTATGATTCAGGTTAGAATTTGGTTTTTTCTTCAGATCTGATGAAATAGAGTTTTGGTTTTCACAAAAGTTTTTCGCAAAAGTGATAACTCTAAAATGGAGTTCGAAAGTTCCAAAAGTTACTGTAGAAAAGACCCGAAAAATATGGTAAGTACTTCCCCAAAAAGAATAATAATAATTTTTTACATTTCAGTTACTGTAGCAAAGCAGTAAAAATAATTTTAAGCAGCCTTTGCAACTTTACTTCTGTCAATTTCCTTCTTTTTTTTTTTCAAATTTTGAATTTTTTTTGAATTTTGAAAATTTTTAATATTTTATAAAATTTTTACTGTTCACAGTGGGAAATGATAAAAGAAATTCATTTATTGGGGCCCCACCCGATTAAATTGATGAAAATTTTATTTTTTATTTTTTGGAATTTATAAATATTTTATAATTATTTTATTATTATTTAATTATTATTTTATTCCTTAAATACTTGAAAACCATAAAAGGAACGAAAGAACGATAATACCCTCTATTTTCACGGTCAAATAGACGGAAAGTTAAGTTGGGACGTAAATAGTCAAAAATTGGCTCTTTTTTGGACGAAATGGGACATAAATGAGCATTTTCAAATGCACGGGACGAAAATGATTATTCGACCAAATGTACGGGACATTTTATGCGGTTTACTCCCTTGCAAAATAGGATTAGTATTCCGGTGCTTAAATCAGAACTCTTAGAGAGAAAAAAAGGACTATTAAATACTATAGAGAGAGAAACATGAGAAATAAATGTCTTGAGATACTTTCTTTTATAGACCCAAAAAAGGGAATATTGTGCACATGAATCCTAGTGGATACTAGTTGATCCTTGGACTGATTTGACTAAGGCCCAACGAAGCTATTAATTGCCCCATCATAGCTCTTATAACTCACCATCAATGTAACTAATAATTTTAACGAGTAGATATGTTCTAATTTAAATGAAAGTTTTAATTAACTTGGATAAATTTTGAGAAACAACAGGAAATTCTATTCACCGTAAAAAAAGCATATTGTTGCGTATTCTTTTCACTGGTCATAACATGAAAATTTGATATTTGGTCTACTCAGAAGCCTGAAATTTGATATCCTTGATGGAGTTGCCACTAGTATATTTACAGATTTCCTTTTGATAAATAATATTTTTACAAGATAAGGGGTTTCGTTTTCATTTGATCATTTCTTTCTTTTTAGCAACTTTAGGGCTGAGGAGAATTTCTACCATGGATTCTTCTTCTTCAGTGGCTAATGTCCAGAAATGCTGTAGCGATCCGAATCGCGTTGATAGCCTTAGCAATTTACCCGATCCCATCATTTTCCATATCCTCCATTTCTCCCAACAAAGCAAGTAGTGACAACCAGCGTTCTGTCCAAAAGATGGGAAAATCTCTGGGCTGCTACCAACACTATTGATTTTGTATCGGATTATAGATCCGAAAGCGGCCACGAAAAGATGGATTTTGTGCAATTCGTCAACAATGTTATAATGGCTCGTGAATCTCAAAATACCTAGATAAATTTCGCCTCAGTTGGGACTCTCACCGAGAGAAATGCCAAGCTGGTTTACCTCAGGACATGGTTGAATTATGCCGTAATTCATGGCGTTCCAGTTCTTGATCCTGATGTTTATTGCCCCCTGTCCTGGTAAGTATCTCACTCTCCGAGTTCCCTCTGGTTAATGGAATTGATCCACGGCGATGCAACTCAATTGTGAAGCTGATTGAAGCTTCGAACCACGTGAAGTTTCTCAGGTTAAAAAGGGATTGTCGTGAGAGGTGTTAGCAACGCCACTGTCCCGTTGCTTGAGAACTAACCTAAATTAGAAGTTGTTTAACATTTCAAAGCCTGAGGGTACGTGTCATCAATTCCCTCATAAGAAGTGTTGGAGTGACCCTAAGGATGTTCCCGTATGCTTGTCATCCAGTCTTGCGGAATTCTCATTTATTGGATTGCAAATTTGGCTTCTTCTTAAACTATCAAAAAATCTGGAAAGTTGTTTGAGATTCGCTAGCTGATAGACGTTACATGTCTAATGAGAATGGACATAGCAAAAATGAAGAAAACCATCACCTCTAACCGTCCAATATCAATCTCGACATCCAATGATTGCGTCAAATTTGAAATGATCACCAGGTTCAAAAATCTCTTCCAGTTCTTCGAAACTTTGTTCCACTCTCAAATCTTTGTGGACTGATAAGCCTTCCTGCATTTTTTTTTTTTTTTTTTTGTGGAGATTATACACACAAATGAGCTAAATTCATAGGAACTGAAAGATGCAGAGTGAAGAAAGCAGACTTGTCTGTGAATCAAAGAAAGTACTAAGCACCCACAGGAAGCAGATTAGCAAGGTTTATACGTACATAAACTGTTGGAACTTGCAAGATCAACACAGAGAAATGCAACAGAAAAAAATAAAAAATAAAAAAAAAATCAAAAAATTCTGTCAATCTTTTCTTTGAAGGTGGCAATGGAATGAATCCAGATTGTGTCAATTACTGTCGTGTGATATCAAAATGAACAGCCAAACAAATTTACTGAGTCTAATGATTTGATGAGAGCCAAACAACAAACAAATTCATCCTAAGAAAGCAAAGAGAAGGGTCTGTATTTGTCACGGACGCAAAGCTTGTATATTCAGAGCAGAGTGAAAATCAAAAAAGTAAAGTAAGCTCCATGGTTCTAAAAACAAATAAGGTCTTCCGATACGGAGCATTTGAGCATCTCATATAGAACATAAATAAAAAGTTGAATTAGTCTAATCTCACAGATAAACCACTTGAAACTTTATACTCAGGTTACATAAAGGTGACGGTGAATGTATTCCATGATAACTGTAAACTATTCGCGTTCCATTAACCACATAGCGAAACTCTAAATTAGGCTTTGATGAGCTCTACCTCAATGTATCACAAAAATGAACTCATTGCAGGTAGGAGCTGAAAAGCTTTCTAACCAGGAGTATACAGCCAGAGGACAGAAGACAATGGACATAAATAACATTTTTCATATCGAAGTCTCTAGATCAAATTCTTGAATAGCATGCAATAAATCTCAACTTATCCTATGCAAGGTCAGATATTCAATTAGAATGAAACTTTTAAGACCCCATTCGTCCTTAGCATATTGAATTCATGAAGCTTGACAGCCTAAAAGATTCACAGAAACTTGAGTATTTGAGGTTCACATTTTTAGCGTGATGTTCGATATAATGACAAATCACTCATTTCTTGCAAACTGAAATGTTAGCATCCTGGGGAACGGGTAAGATTTGGGTTCTGAAAAGGATCAAAGTCATCCTAGATTGGTAGGAGAATAGGAACTAGTAAAGACCATTAGCCTAGGATCCTAGCACGTTATAGCATCTGTGAAACCAAATCTAGTGGATGATGTCAGATTTCAGCTTCAGTAATGCTCAATTTAAAGACTTCACCACAGAGAGAAATGCAAGATTATCCTTGAAACTGTCATGAAGTTATTAGAGCTTACCGAAAAGCAATAAACTATCATGATGAAAAGATCTTGATATTACAGTAGGTAAAAAAAAATAATCAACATGACAACTACATAATATTAAACTATACGAAAAAACGCCGCATTCAATTACAACTTAGACTAAAGAATCTCTTCAAAACATGCATGCTTATTTATATGGAGCTGTGGAAGGGAAGGCTAAATTAGATCTACCTTCTGCACATATTCTGAGATGGTAGAGTTTATTACTCTCGTGATGACTTGCTTGTAAACTTTTGAGTATCCAAGAATTTCCAAAAGAATGTTTTGGGGTATCTGCAAGAGAATCAAAAATTGATCAAAGACCTATAGCTTAACTACAGTTATTCTAAAAGTTGACAACATTGCTTCTGCTTGATTCGCATCATGATAGTATCTTCAAAACTTAGCATGCAAATAGTGAAAGAGAACTGAAGTGCTATAGATGGGTAATTTCAGCTCTTATCAAACAGAAAAGACATTTTATGATAGTGCCTGACCAAATCAAAACATGCACTTTTTTAACATTTAGATAACTTCTAGTAGGTATAGTGGTACTAGATCCCGCTTCCCATTGGAGAGTAGGAAACCAAGAATCAAATTTTTTGAAGGATTTTCAGAAGTCGACCAATTCGACTGTTTCAAGCAATGATGTTTGTAACCTCGGAATGATATGAATACAAACCTAAGTTATGGAAGGCTCACTGTAGAACATGACAATTCTGTTCTTGCACTAATTAATGTCTATATAATGTGAAAACATGAGACACAAGATCCTCATTCTCATTATTAGATTTATCGCCATCCTCTTCGGCTCTATCAGATGAATGACATAAAGTTCAACTACCATGTCAATGATGCATGAAAAGAAATTTTAGTAAGTTTGTTGAGTTCATAAAAAACTAGCAGAGTCAATCTTGGTAAATGGACTGAAGTAGCAACAAATAGAGTCTTAACACTCACATTTGGTGTTTTCCCTGATAGTTGCCAGTTGTCAGCAAGAGAGCATTCATAATAGAGGAAACACAAAGTAAGAGCCAAAGTTAGAATGCATCTGAAAAACTCTAGAAAATTATAAGAGCTTGCATTACACAGAAGAATTAGCGGATAGGAATCGGCAAAAATCAGCAGTTCATGTCCAGACTAATTCAGGATTGCACTAAGGGAAACATAATTATGCCTTTATTCATGGTTTCACTTGCCTCCTTTGACCCTACGAAAACCAGGAATTGGCTGAGCATCAGCAACCATTTTGGAAAATACATCATCAAAAACTGCTTTGGTTTTCTTCCCGGATACTTCTATGCTTATCTGCAATCAGATTCACGTTTCACTTGACAATTGAGCTCGAACTGGTTCAAGCATTCAAAGGACAGTGGGAAAGAACAGTTGTATCCACATACTGAACAAAAGTTAACATGTCTGATTAACAAGCACCCCAGTTAAACTTCCTAAAATGGTAACATGGTCCACTCAATTCAAATACGCAGAAACAAACTGAAAGAAATTTCGACACTAAGAATTTCTACAAGCTTTCGAGACTCAGATACTTCAAGCAGAAAACAAATGAATGTTCATAACACATAACAGAAGAATCTGACCTTCAATTCATTAGCTTTGTCACTTTGACAGGTAGTCACAGAAAAATCATGGAATTGAGAAGTAGAAGTTTGTGTATCTTCCAACCCTATAGAAAGTAAACAATCAAAGACATTCATGATCTCCATGATAGTGTTTATAACACATAACAGAAGGTCTATGATAGTGTTTATAACACATAACAGAAGGAGAAAAAGAAGAACAAGGTTTAGCACCTGCTGATACCGCATTAATGACAAAAGGTTCTCTAAAGTTTGTCCTGTAAAAAGAAAATCTCACACTTTTATCCACTTCGGATCATATTCTCAAAACACTAAATAACAGATGAGATTACAAAAGAGGCCAATAAAGGATCATAAGGTGCCTGAACCAATTTCACATTCATAGGTTGAAAATTAAGACATGCAATTACCACAACACAACAAAAGCAATCTACTAAGACAAAGGAAAATATGAAATTATCTATAGGACAGAGCAAATAGTCCTGATGCAGAACAAATGGCAACTTTCATTCCTTCTAGCCACAGAAGAAGCTGAACTCAGGCGCGAGACCAGTAGCACTGGCCATGCATATAACTTCTATCTACTGAGGTACTTCCCAATAGACAGCATATCGACAAAATTCATCAGCACAAACTTAAAATATAATACTTTCCCTTATGTTCTTCTACATTATTTTTACTCCACCATATGCGCATCACAGAGCCTGACAACCAGACATGGTCCTTAAAAGGACATCATGATTCTCGACGTACTCCCACATAGGTTGGCTCAAATAATATTTTTTTAGTATGGTCCATATCAACGATATCCAATTTGAAGCTCTATGAAGGAAATTAAGAACATCCATGAGCAACAAAGAAGAAATATTTCCGGCAAAAGATGAATTCTTTTTGTTCTTATGAATCTAGATTTCAGTCTACTACAGAGTCAAATTACATTGTAGAAAGCATTAAACGTTTTCCATGATGAAGTGTAGGTAATACCTTGCCTGATGACGGTTTTGAGAAGTCCATGCCATATTGAAAGAAACACCATTTACTTTAGGGAGCTGGCATGATATAATGCCGTTTACACATCGCCCTTGGCAGAAAATACTCTGGCATGTGAAAGAAACACCAGGCATCATACTCAGATAGGATCTCCATTTAAATAGAATGATAGTTGGCTCTTGATACTCTACCAAGAAAATTAGCTACTTTTAACTACTAAAAGAAACAACTATGGAGTATGGACCCAAGCAACTTGACATATCTGAATTGCATAAAATTATGTACGATGGGCATTTATTTCGTTCCCAGAGAAGCAAACTGAAAGCCTCATCAATTCCAAATGCGCAAAAGCATACAGAGAATTCAAATTGTACTCCATTTAACTAACCAGGCTCTGAGGCCAAAAGGGTTCTTGTGGAATGATGAACACAATCTTTAATAAATAAAAAAACCTCCATAGCTATTCACCAAAGGATCTCCCATTAGGAGTTACGAATAAAATTACAAAGGCATGCAACATCTTTCAGAAAGCACAAATGATAAACATCCCGGTTGAAATAACCAAAACAATAGAAATTTCAGTAGCTTCAAGACAAGATTGAAGAGGAAAGAGAGCACATGAATTGGTTAAGAGATATTACCCTGTAATCCGGACAAAGGAAACGAGCTTGTGCATCGAGAGCTGAAGTTGCCATGCCTTTCTTTCCTTCTGTTCTGCTCTGTAAACACAATGTTGCCTCTCTTATATCACTCTTTAAGGATAAAACACAAATTTTGGAATTTTCACCCCCTTCAAGTTCATAAAATTGTGAATTAGGTCCAATATAATTCCAAAACTCCAATTTCAATCCAATACTTTTGATTAAATAACTGCTTCCGATTCAAAGCACCGTGTGGACTAAATTAGCCTCAATTTCAAACTGAATTACTGTTGAGAAAAATCAACAAAAAGTGATGCACATTTGGGTGAGCTGATAAGCAAAGTGCGGTCATGGCGACAATGACGACGACGGCGACGTTGATGACGCCATGCTCTCGTCGTCTCAGTTGGGACTTTAACGTAAGCAACCTCACCAACCGTTTTCTCCATCTTCTTCAGCTGTGTGGGCAGCATGAAAAGTATTGAAAATGTGTTTAAATTGTGCTTTGAAGAGAGTTGTGAATGACTGACTCTTTCCTTCGGTTTTGGACTATTTTCAGCCGATTTTTTGAAAGATTTTTTTACGTTTTCTCGTTTCTGCAGATAATGTGTCACAGGAATGCCTCTAATTTTGTGCAAAATAATCTTGGCACTGCAGCGGCTGTTGAATTCCCTTGCACTAGTCTGGTTAACCAGTTCCAGAGGTAATGAAAATTCGAAAATTCTGTTTCTGATTCCGTTTTCTAGTCTATGTTGCTCCATTTTTGGTCTTTATCTCTTTCTAATGTGTGTTGAGTCTGTGTGTTCTACTCCTTGGGAGTGTTAGCCCTTTCATGTAGAAGAACTTGTAAGCATTCGATTGCTTATTGTTGGTCCTAAGTGTGAGTGTACTTCATCTTGCTTTTGCGCAATGATCGCACTAATGCTTTTAATTCGGAAGAGCATAAAGCTGAAAGGAATGAGTTTTCAACTTTAGTCGGGAATTACAGACATCTTCAGGCATTGGAGGATTGTTTAGCCATTGGTGGAATGATGGATTAGAACCAAGTTACCTCGGCCAAAACCAAGTTAGTCTGAATTGTGGTTGTTCTTTTCCATTTGATTAGATCATGTTTACTAAGGAATCTTCAATTGGATCAGGAATGATTCTGTCCTTTGGCTGAACTGGTCCATTTTGCATTTGTTACAGCTTTCAGTCGACTAGCCGGCATCTAGTATGAAATAGCAAGAATCAGATTGATGCTCCTAATTTGTTACTCATGGTTGTGAGATTTGATAACTGGTGTCCTGTCTGAGATTCTACGATTCTATATTTCTTTAGCTTAGAAATTAATGTTTCTTTCATGTCTCCATAGCTTTCAGTTTCTTTAAAGCCTTTAGATAAGGCAAGAGCTTATGAAGCTGTCACAAATGTTATGATTTTATTCTCTTTAGAAGAAAATAGTTTTTCTTATATATTAGAACTTGCTGCAAATCTGCTGAATGCTCAAGAGCAACAGTTACATATCTCAGAACATTATTTCTAGTTATATGAATCTTGTGGTTTAAACTTGTACTGATACTGAAGTAATCAAATAGCTATAACTGGATAAAACTGCGACCCTGGCAAAAGGCTCAAAAATGTTACCATAAAGTAACTTGTTGCATTTTCCTTCGATAATCTACTTTTTCTATTTGGAAGACAAAGAGAGGCACATTTTCTTAGTTTTTGTTTTAGAAAGCCCCCTAGTTTGTATCTGCCAGTTTCCTTTTATTGCCTTCGGAAATGTCATACATGTCACAAACACCCTTTCTCTTTTCTCAAATTCATGCTTCAGACTTAGGAGTTTCCAAGTATCAGCTAGCATTCATTTCACATTCTAGATTTTCTTGATCCTTGTAGGATGTTTGTGACCATTATTAAAAAGGTAATTGTGTTTTTCTAGGTCTTCAAGAGCATTTTTCTTTAAGCCATCCCCAGGATCTTTGGTTAAACCAATATCTGCTGCAGGTTCAGGTATTCATGGCTTCCTTTAAAATGTTTTGGTGTGGTTGTGATCACTCACATTTTAAATTTGACCTTCTATTGCTCTCCAGTAATTGATGTTTTCTTCCCTGTCTCAGGTTTGAAGGCAACAATTACAGATCCAGAAGCAAATTCCATACATGTTAAGAATGCCAAGATAGTCGTAGAATCTCATGAGGATACCTTGATGCAAGTGAGTTCACCACCTTAAATCTTCTTTCTTGGGTACAGATGGTTCTTCTTGAGGTTGGTCTCAGTTGACATCCTCTGTTGATGGATATGCAGATCTTCCAGTTTCAACTGGGGATATTACATTTTGTACACATAAACTACAAAATGAGCACCACTCATTGTAAATTTTGGTAGATAGCTACTTTTCGTTAATCTCTTCTTTTTTTTTCTTTTGAAATTGTATACTAAGTGGAGTTTCATGCTTGTTATGGGAGCCACAGTGAAAATGTTGATATTCCAAATTTACTACCATGACAAAGTTTGTTGGTGGTCTTCCTGTGTTTGGTTATATTTTTGCGGTTCTAGTTCAACTTTTACTAAAAGATTCCAGTGTCTTATTAATAAGCATTGTAATTTTCTGTCCACCTCCATTGATGCATTTAGGTGTCCTTTCTTTCTTCTCTCTTTTCTAAGCGGTGGTCAAGGAAGCCTGTATTAAAATATCTTTTGGCGTTCAAATTTTAGTGGTTGTTGCTGAATCTGTTTGCCTTCCTGCTCACTTGTTGACTCTGAAAGCTTATGCATCTGTTGATGGCCTAAAGCATCTAAAGCAGCCAAATACCCTTGAAATGAACTCATTAATAATCATTGATGGAAGTCCTCCTTATATCCTCTTTCAGGTAAGAGTTGATGTGACTGGAGAGGACACAAGAATAGTGTTTGATAAGGTTTTAATAAATTTAGGTCGTACAGCACCACCAGTGCCTGGATTTCGCAGACAAAAAGGAGGTAAGGATTTTTCTCTCTGTCATTCGGCGGGTGTGAATTTGGTCATAAAGCCCTGGCACTCTAGTACCTGTTTTTCCTTTTGTTTTGCTGCTTTTTTGTTCCATATTAAACATTGCTGTAGTTATGTTCTTTCTTGAATGCATAATCAATGTAGTTTTAGTTTTTCCTTGCTCAAAGCCTCAAATAGATCGTTTAGCACTCTCTCAGTTAATTATGACTTTTAAAAATGTGTTTGCACTCATTTGACTCTCCCTGTCTTTTTTTTTTCTCATGTGGATTTTGGCTTTTTCAGGGAAAACATCAAAGGTAATTCCGCAAAAACTCCTTGATTTTAGTATTTTTGGTTTGGCTGTAATGTTGTGATTGTGAAATTCAACTAATTTCAGATCTTTAAAATCAGATTCTGGGTTATATGCATTTTGATTTGTCATGGTATACTACCTTATCTTTATTTACGTAGGTTCTTTTCATGTTGTTGGATTTCATTTTCAAGCATTATAGTGAAATACCGTTGATGTCTGAAATCCATTGTTTGGATGTTCAGTAATAATTTTAGTGGGGTATCAGTGAAACTGACAAAAGAAAAGAAGTCAACATATCTTTCATCACGAGTCTGTGATTTGTTGAACAACTTGCATCATTTCATTGTGAGGGTACCTCATTTGTTAATTGTGAGTGAAGGTACATTCTCGATTAGGAACAGATTAGTGTTTAGGAAGATATCGAATAATTCTTAGCCTCAAGCAGTTATACTTTTCTTTTTCTAAGGACTGATTAGGAAGTGTGCTCTTGTAGGTCCCAAAAGATTTCCTGTTACAGATTCTTGGTGAAGAACGAGTTACAAAATTTGTTATTCAGGAAATTATTACATCTACTTTGGCTGACTATGCCAAACAGGCAAGTGAACCAAACTCTTTTCTTGCTTTCCATGCAGTGTCTCATCTGACTTTCAAGCACGTCATGCAGGAAAATTTGACTGTAAAGGACAATGAAATTAAAACCATTCAGACTGCTGAAGAACTGAGGTCATTGTTTAAGCCAGGAAATGAGTTTGGATTCAATGCTACACTTGAGCTCGAGACTGCAACTACTGAAGAAACTAGCTCGGACGCATAAACCAAAATTCGCAGCCATTGGTTTTGCTCAGACGATCAGTGTAAGAAACCAAGCCAGTAGTCTTAGGAAGCTGGGAATTATGAAGATGCACAGCAAGGTCTTTCTGATGTTTTCTCTGATGTTAGACCGCTATATATGAAGTCTGCTTGTTTGTGTTGGTAAGTAACAGTAGCTCAATCTTTGAAAATGCTCTATTCAAAATGTATTGAACTGATTTCACGACGCAACCACTTCTAGAAATGAATGCCATCCCAACCCCCCAACAATTATGTGTTACTGCCTCAAATTACATTGTATTGAACTAACTATATCACATTAAACGCGTGTATAAGTTCTTAGAAACTTGAAATTTATATTCATAAGAAATGCGAGAATTGATAACTCTTGTTTTGATACAATATAAAGTGTCAGCGAGAAAATCTGTTGTAATAGCTTCTCTTAGAGAGATTTTCGTGGACAAAACTGTTGTTTATCTTTTTCTTATCAGTTTATTTATATGATAATCCGCCGTCTACATAATTTGTACAGCGTATTCTTGCAGTAGGCACTTCATGTGTTAAAAACCCCAACTCTTTGGCTTCTCTGCACTCTTCTCTACTTTTTATTCTCGTTTTTCAACAAAAGTCATTAACGTACGTACGCATGTTGGGAAATATGGAGCCAATAGACTACAGTAGGAACTTAGCATGGCAAAGTGAAAATATATGGATTTCAGTTGGCCCTTGATAATACGCTCATTTCATTCTGAAACAAGACCTTGTTTTGCTCTTTACAGCCAAACAAGAGTGTTCTTTACATAAATCTCAGCATCAATCAGCACGTACGACAACAGATACGAGGATAAGATTGAAGGGTGCATTTGGGTGTAATTATTAGTCATCATTTCTTCTCCTTGCATTACACGTAATTAGTCAAGATGTTTCCTCTCTGCTGCCATCTTCTTCTTCTTCTTCTTTTTTTTTTTTTTTTTGCTGCCATCTTCTTCTTAATTTCATGTGCATGATGCAACTTCATTGAAAGAATACATAGTTATTTAAGGTTGAATTGGTCTCACTTGATTCTGCTTCCGCCCTTTTGTTTCGTACTTTAATTTGTGGTTTCGGCTTACTTGATCAATAAATTTTAAAAGACTCAAAAGTCTGCTATCCGAAATGCTGAAAGTGAACCTTCAGTCCTTCACCATGGCCACCAAGTTGCACTTTGTCCTGATGAATGAGTACCGCCGATTTGCTAGTATTGGAAGAAAGACCGAAAACTCCCCCTGAATATCAATATTACATTGCGTTTTGCTCTTCATTAAAAATTCTAGCCAGCTTTAAAACAAAATGCAAAAACACTCTATCAACACATGTCAAGTGTTGGATCTCATTTGCTCATCATGACTGATGATATTGTTTGAGAAATGGCAGATTCTTTTCGCATTTTGCTTCTTTCTTTGAGCAAAATGGCTCCTGCCCAGCAATTATATGAAGCTGACGCTTCTTGTGTACTGGTAATGTTTTTTGGATATAATAAATTTTGGGGGAAAGGAATGTATCAGTTATATGTTACTCTCTTCAACCACCGGGGGCAACAGCATTTTTCTGTTCGCGTTAGGACTGATGTGTCACAACTAGTGGACAAAAGGAGAGTCCTCCTTGACCTTTTAGGACAAAATTGATCCTGAAAACATGCTCCGTGATCGATTCCGAATCACGATTTGCCACACAAGGGTCAGGAGAAGTTTAGAAGGAAAGAGATATCTCATTTCTTGGATGACATATGAATGGCTGAAGCATTGAGATTCTTGGAAGAGGCATTCCCCGAGGATAAGAAGGCAAATAGAACTATGTTGACTAGTCGTCATGATGTAGCTCCTGACAAATAACCTCTCAAACTCAGACCCCTCAATGATGAAGAGAGCGTGGAGTTGTTGCGTAACCGTTTATTTTGGGGGGGAAAACTGCTGGCCTGATAACTTAAATGGTGTTGGGAAACAACTTGCTGAAATTTGCAAGGAAACACAGCCAGAGGGATGGAAGAAAATTTTGAGTGGTTTAAGATCCGGCATTGTTTCGAGTACAGAACAGTGTAAGAAAACATTGGAGCTCTGCTATACCCATTTACCAAACCATTTGGAGCTGATCAATGTGGGTAGATTTCCAGATGAAAACACGATTGCTCGTGCATTTTGGCATTCCTGGCAATTCAATGCTGTATGAGGAACCTCTCATCATCAAAAGGTAAATTGCTCCAATTTGGAAACTCTTGTTATAAAACAAATAGGAGCAGCCTTGATCCTCCAATTGCCTGAAAGCTTTTGGAATCTTCAAAGACTCAGGCATCTTTGGGAGTCCAGATGGTACTTTCCCTGCAGAAAATCTTGTCAGCTCATCTGATTTTTATGCGAGTTGGATTGGCTTTCTGGTGTAGCTATTCCTTGATGGGAAAACATGGAAGGTTTTGTGAAAAAGTTTTTGAATGTCCATAAGTTAAATTGTGTCCTGTTTGATTTTGACGACAAAACCAGAAACCATGTGAAAATAGTACGTCCTGAATGTTTGAGCCAACTGGAATCACTTGGACTGTCATTGCTTTTTTAGGTTTGAACAACTTAAAGGCATCGAGTTTGAGCTTGGTTTGCCTGAAAATCTGAAGAGAAATTGATGCTTTCGGGGTTCCCTTTTGTCCAATAGGCTATAGGAGTCTTTTCAACCATTTCTAAACTGCCAAACCTGGAACTTCTCAAATAAGTTGATCTAAGCTTCGAAGGAGATGCATGGGAAATGGAACAAGAGGAATTCTCCAGCCATCGATTTTTGAAATAGTTCATCTCGGGACCTGGTCTCGTGGACTGCTTCTGAGAACCAATTTGACATTCTTCAGAAGTTGGAATTTGTTCAAATGCAGAGGTTTTGAGCGCGTTTCATGTTGTCGAGGTCAAGTTTTGTTCTAAAGCTGCACTGGAGTTTGTAGGAAACATTAAGAAAGTTCAGGAGGAATGCGGAAATTCAGAGCTGAAAATCATAACTACCACATATGACTGACTCTTCTGCAACAAATTTGGCTGGATTTGGACAAGTGGTGATGGCGAAGTGATGATTATGGTTCAATCATTGAACTGTTTGTATTGTTTTGTATTATTGTTATTTCACTTCTACTTCTGAAGTCATTAGTTGAATGCATTCAGTGGGAAAGAAAAATTTCCTTTTCAAACCTAATCTGCAACATTTACTACCTACATATTACTGTTCTCATGATAAGTGTTGGCAGCAAAGAAAACTTTTGAGTTGAAGTCGAAAGAAATATGTTTAGGTTATTGAAGTTCATGATATTCTCCCTTTGTTTTTTAGCTTCTTTTGTGAGAGTTGGTTCTTTTAAAGGTTGATAAAAAGGAACGATCCCAGGTCAGAACTTCTGCAATTCGCGCCCGAGATTTTGAGTTGATTCTTGAGAAGTTAAGGTCATCCGATTTCATTCGTGAGCTTCCTTTGTACTTCTGTTTGGGAAAGGTTTCTGAAAACCTCTCAAGAGAGTGTTTTTTTTTTTTTTTGGCGAAAGTTAGAACTTAATTTCAGACTTCATCAGGAAAAATGCCTTTGGACAATGAGATTAAACCCATTGACATCACTGCTGAAGAACTCAGATCATTGTTTAATCCAGGAAATGACTTTGCTTTCAAATGGCTAACAAAGAAACTAGCTCAACTGCATAAACAGACACCGGTGTTCTTGGTGACGATGAGCGAAAAAACACCAAGCCAGTCTCACAGAAGAATGACCATACACCTTGTCACACTATTCATGATATGTTAACATCTCAAAGACAATCTATATTTCGTGCAAATTGTGTTGCAACAAATTGGACAAACTTTGAAACACATTAAGTGTGTTTATCAGTTTTAGAAGTTCGACATTCTTATTCACAAGAAATGCGAGAATTCATTCCTCCTTTTTTTTATATATGGAAAAAAGTATCACGAGGAAATCTCTTGTCATGAATTAGACCGGCATTAGTTATAACAAATCAACTGCATTACCAATTCCTCAACAAATCTACCTCAGTACATGTATAAGTACAAACAATACTCTCCACTTTAAGTTAAATGCATCCAATTCAGTCGAAAGTTTAACACATCTGAAAGTGCAAGTGTGTGTAATTCAAAAATGAGCACCAAGGTGGGCAAATGGAAATCAATCAGCAAGACAATTATTAAAGCTCCACTGCAGCTTCTGAGCAAAGTGGGGGTTTTATATTTCAGAGGCTACTCTGGCTGTCCAGCAAACGTCCCGGTCTCAAGTTTGCAGGATTTGGCTACTGCTAAGGAGTTTACTCCGATGGTCTCAATATAACAGCCGTGTTTGTTTTTCAACCAACGAAAATTTTATGTTTGCTAAAAAGGTATAAAGGGAGTACATGTTAGTGAGAAACGGCATTTCAAAAACTGTGAATTTGGGTTTGGAATTTCAAAAAGTGTATAAGAAGAAGAAGTAGATATATGAAAAAAAAAAAAAAAGCCTTCACTCTGAAATGTGGATTTCCAAAGGATCTTCAGAAAAAGCATAGCAGTATCTTTTGTTTTCATAATTTACTTGTGTAGAAATAATGCAACTCTGCAGCTGAAATGATGAATGGTTAAATGAGCTAGCCTATATATATGTTTGGTGTAATGTTTCACAGGTCAGTTTTGCCCCAAATCTTAACAAACTTAATGCAACAACCATCAAGTACCAATCAACATTTGAACTGATAACCAAGATATGCCAGTGGTTTACTTTTACAATAAACACATTGATGCCAAACATCCTACGAGTTCATTCATCAGTCTAAGCACTAAATGGCCATCAATGTTTGAAGGTAAACATGAATCGCTAAAACTAGCTTACATGCAGACCTAGAGATCGCAACATGATAAGATTAATCCCTCCAACCTTGATGCTAGAATGATTCTCTCCAAAGCATTTCAGGCTTTCTGCAAATGAAGCAACAAATAAAACTTGAGCCCAAAAGCAAAAAAAAACTAAACGAGCAAGGCATGTTAATTCAAACAACAAAACTCAACCTGCATCGGTAGGTACAATTTGAATTCTGGAGGGAGTTCTTCCTCTGAATATAATCGATCAGAAAAGTAAATTCTCCTCAAACGACAATTGGCGTGAACCTGAACCCTCAATGTCTCCACATAATTGGTTCCATATGCTCGCCTTGTTAAGTCTGTGAGATTCAGCTGAATCTGATTCCAGCCTTCATCCATCCTCAAGGGCATAGTGCAGATATATGGTTTCACTCGTGTAACACCCTAGAAAAAACATACATATTCCAGTAAGCCAAGACTCCTAACAGCATTTACCAGCATTACTTACAGAAATTAATTGCCATTCCTAAGCACAAAGCTCGGTCCCAGAAGGAGAAGAAAGAATTATACAGAAAAGTCCAAAACAGTAAAATATTTAGCTCAATGCCCAGCATAATGTCAATACAGGAGTCTTGCTAGGGATCAAGTAACCTACGACAGGAGGAATCAGCATAAATTAACTGACTAACTTAGGAACAGAGAGAATGGCAAACTGAAACTAATGTCAATGTATTCTACTCATTTGAGATCAAGAAGAATCATGCAACAATCTTAATAAACTGAGAGGTGCATGTAACATAAGCAACTTTACAGCTTTACATCTACTTAATATAAACAAGATGCATAATGATTACACCTTCATGTCAGGACCCAGTTATATTAGGATACGGCCTCTCACTGTGTAATTTAAGAGATGAATCTAATTTCACTACTTATTTACGACCAAAATCTTTGTTAACCTCTGAACATATCAAATCAGAATTCCATTGTGGTTAATGAGTTGGGTAAGACACAAGAACATAAACTGCACCAGCATTAACAGGTAGGCAAAGCCCCAACCACATAAGGAGAACTTACACACTTGATAGTTTGAAGCACGAAACCGTCGCCTGACATTCTTGTCATCCAGCACCTGAATCTCAAAAGTGAAGTACTTCTTTGGATTTTTCACAATCAAAACCAGAAATGGAAGCTTTATACCAAGTGTCGCATTTGGATCAGCTGGGCATGTTATATATGTAGATTGGATATTTGATCCTACAATTTCGAGCACGTTGGACTGGATGTCTTCATCCAGTATCCGCTTGACCTGGCCATCAACAACTGCAAGAAAATACGGTGAATAGAGGAGTGAAAACCATTTGGAAGACACAGGAGCATACAAGTAAAATAAACCAGTAAGGGTATCTCTCGATCTTTGGTTTTCAGACAACCTACTCATACAGTATACACTGACAGACAAGGATGATTCAGAGCATAATGTAAAGAATAAAAATTCCCGATACAAAAAGAATAAAATAGAGAATTTTATGGAGAATCTCACCTTCTTTGTCCCATATCTGCAAAGGCTTGCTCCTGATACAAAGAGAAAATTTATCAATTCTGAACCACCCAATAAGAGTGAAACCATGAAGAATTCAAATAATAAGATAAATTCTACATACCCGAGGCTGTATAAAATTGAAAGGAACCCGGATTGGAATGTGTTCTTGAACATTTCTGCAAATTGTCCTCACAGAGCAACACTGCAACAAAACCAATCTTTTCCAATTACTTCCAGCCTATATACAGCATGATTGAGGAAACAAATTACTTAGAAAAGCTTTCCCCATGAAAAACTATGAACAAAATTACTTAGACAAGCTTACCCAAAAAAAATTATGAAAAAAAAAAACTATAAATGTGTTGCAATACGCGATCAACATATATACTGCAATCCCCCACCCAAAAAAAAAATCCCAAGTTTGCAGGCATGATAATGGGATTAGCCAATACAATTACAATAAGAACAGTAGAAAAAATAGGAGAAAAGGGAACAAAAGCTCAATTTTCTGAAAAAATCCAGACAAGGAATCAAACATCAAAACTTTACAGAAAAGGATTTAAGCCAATTCTATCACAGTAAACACCAAACAGATTAGCTCAGACGAACAATATCAGATCACAACAGAAGCAACAACAAAACCCTAACAAAATCCTGCTACGATTCTCTACAATGATATCGCAAATTCAAAGAGGAAATAAAGTCACGATTACCTGCGACGAAGTTTGCAAGCTGCGGAAGCTTGAATTTCTTACGATGATTAATATTCAAATTTAGGACGGGGCGGAAAGCGGGCACCCGGTTCAACTAAAACAATTCCCGAACCCGAAGCTTTTAAATTCAAGAAAACAAGACACTGTGTCCGTGTCGCGCGTGCACGGAAGCAGGATGTTGAATCGTTTGATCTACGGAACAATCGAACGGCTTATATTTATAGTTTGACCAAGAGGTCAAACTACTTTCATATGCCGCTGTTCTTACTTACGTTTTGAAAATTGGACCGACTGGCAACTTAAATGGTTCATTGGTTCGACCGGTTTAAATCAGTCTTAAAAACCAGTCAAAACCGGCTATAGAAAATATTAAAAAAATAATTTATTTTTAAAATTTTAAAAATTTCGTCCAACCGGTACCGGTTCTCGGTCCAACCTTGATTTTGTCCTGATCTGACCGGTTTTTAAGCTTGCCAGTTGATAATCGAAACCAGACTGGGGAGGTCTCCGATTCCCAGTTGAACTGGTTCGAGTGCCTGGTCCGGTTCGGTTTTTAAAACACGGGTTCTTACATAGAGAAAGCCCCCGAAGTTCTCCCTGAATCATGTACCAGTTTATATCTATGTTTTAAAAACTGGACCAGAAGATGAACCGTTAGCGTGACCGAATTGGTGGGTTCACCGGGTTAACCGGGCAGCTCGTTTCTCGAAAATGGTGAAAATCAGTCAAAGTAATATCAAAAAAACATTTAAAAATTAAATTTTTAAAAATATAAGTAAAAATCAGTTTAACCGGTACCGATTTCCGGTCGAACCACAGTTTTGTCCGAATTTGACCGAGTTTTACAAAGTCTGGTTCTTATAGAAACCGAACCATTGAGGCTTTTGGTTCCCGGACTAACCGGTGACTGCCGAACCGGTCCAGTTTTGAAAACATAGTTTATATACGCTTTGTGTAAGTGAAATCCCACAGTGTCAAACTTGTAATTGTATGTCCCCGATCCAAAATAATTTCCCCTAACAAGAATCATTTTTGTAGAGTAGATATTTTCAACTTTTTTTTTAATGTCGACAACCCCATAAGAGAGGGGTAAGCCTATATGTCTACTACAATAATTTACAAATCACATTAGAAGATAAATCACCTAGGCAATTTAGGTGTGAAATCGAAAATTCATGTATGGTTTATCATAACAAACACTCCAGAGAAATTTATGGGAAAGCAACCCCGTTCATGTGAGAAGACTTTTTCAACTTAGTCTAAGAATTTCCAACATTTTTTTTTTTTTGGTTTGGATAAAGTGCAATAAATTCCATGTACGTAGTTGGAAAATTATTATCCATAGTACTTAATTAAAGCAGCAAACAAAAAGAACACATGTCAGCTTCACAATGAAAATTTTCCCTCCAAAAGGCTTTTTTAGTACAAAATGAAAACTGACAAGTGGCGCTCTAGATTTTCCAATATCCAATAGAGCAGCCAGAAAATACCATCACTCGGAAAACCCTAATCATGTATGCAGTACAGAAAACAAAACAGGATGTGGTCAACCAAAATACCATATCTCAGAAAACCCAACCCATGTCTGTAGCACACAAAACAAATACCCCTGTCTCTGAAAGTGCCATGATTGGTACTCATGATCCTGTTTATACAGATCATGAACTTGAAACATCTGCAACTGATGTTGCCGCATCTGTGGAGGGATCAGTCACCTCTATGGTCCAATCTCATCAAAGACTCCTGCTGGAAACCAAATTGCTGAAGGTGACACTACTGTTGTTGCTCCTCATGTCCCTATTGTTGCTGCACAAAGGTATATTGCGGACATCAATGGGTTGATTCCAACCAAAAGCACCCATTTCAACATCGTCGTTCGTGTGATGACCATCTGGAAAATGTACGAAACAAAGGAAAAGAAAAATGTCAGATCTGTTGAGTTGGCTTTGATTGATGCTCAGGTATTGTTGTCGTTTTTATTATTTAAAAATTTATTCGTGAATACATTACTCTATAATTACATTTAAATTAATTACATTAAATGAGTTCATATATTTGTCACACAGGGATCAAAAATTCAGGCTACTATACCTGGTAGAATGGTGAAAGATTTTATGAAATATTTCAAAGATGAAGGTGTTTACAAGAGGCTATCGCGCTTTGATCACGGACTTAATATAAGTGGAGGTTACCGTTGCTCCAAACACGAGTATAAAATTGTGTTTGGATCTGACACACTGGTTGAATCAGCTGTTGATTTAGAAATCCCTAATCATGTTTTTGAATACACTCTGTTTGCAGAAATCACAAATTTCGTAGCGAACTTTGACTACTATTTTGGTAAGGATACATTATTATATGATTTAGGCATATATTTCCGTTGGTTATATATATGTGAATTATGTATGTTTCATAACAACTAATGGATTAACATGTAAATCTACTTTCAGATTTGATAGGACACATCATTGGTTTCAGTGATCCTATTATTGAAAATGGGAAAAAAAGAATCTCTGTTGAACTAGAAGATGAAAGGTAATTATTACCACATGGTTACTTAAGATATATTTTTGAGTGTTTTACCAATTTCCAGTATATTACATACATATATGAATGTAATAAAATTGTATGTATATTTACAGAGCTGATACATTGAAGGTTACTTTGTGGGATGAACATGCTGATCGTGTTCTCAACTGTATGAATAATAACCCTGAATATCCTGTAGTCATGATTGTGCAGTATGTAAAGTGCAAAAAATACTATTGTAAGTTTCTTAAAAAAATACATACTCATAGATTTTAGCTATTATGTTAGCTATTATGGCAAATCGAGATTTTTATGATTAAAACCCCTTTCTGTTTACCTACAGCTAAAGTTTCGGCTACAACGAATCTGTACAATGGTAGGATATATTTCAATGATATGACCATTCCTGATATATACGAGTACAAACACAGGTAAACTTAAATTTTCTGAAAATACATATACCAGTTTAAAAATGCTGACCTCCTAAAACATGCTTAGTATAATTTATTAATGTCCAGCATTATTTTTAAATATTATTAATTTTGTAGGATGGAACAAGATGAGATCAAGGGTGTCAGTATCCACAAGATTTCACTACTCTCATCCATTTCAGGGTATACATCATTTGAGGACTTTGTCCGTGACACTGAGATGTTAACTTTGTATGGGATTTCTGAATTGGACCAGGTAATATGTTGTTTGTATACCGTATTATGTAACAAAATAATATATATACATTAATTAATATATTCGCCTTTTATTTTTACAGGCTTGCAACGTTGTGGTATTTGGTATACATCAGGGTATACATCATTTCTCCCAGAGGTGAAAGGTACTGCTCTAGAACCTTGTGTTGACTGTATCTATGATAAACAACATAGGGTTTCCTTTCAAAATTCTCCTCCATCTAAAAAGTCCAGTCCTCTAGAGTTAGTTCATACAGATGTATGTTACATGAAAGATAGGTCGTTGGGTGGACCATTGTACTTTGTTACTTTCATTGATGACTATGCTCGAAAGGTTTGGTGTTTTTCTTTGAAATCTAAAGATTAGGTATTGGATGTGTTCAAAGATTTTCACCTTAGAGTTGAACGAGAGACTGGCAAGAAGTTGAAGTGTGTTCGAGCAGATAATGATGGTGAGTACAGGGGTCCATTTGAGAAGTATTGCCGAGACCATGGCATTAAACTTCAGAAGAGTGTTCCGAAGATTCTGCAGCAGAATGGCGTGGCAGAAAGAATGAACAGAACTATTACCAAAAAGGTTAGGTGTATGCTCTCGAATGCAAAGCTGCCTAAATCTTTTTGGGGTGAACCCTTGCAGACAGCAGTTGATTTGATCAACCTATCTCCCTCAGTTTCGTTGGATGGTGATCTATCCCAACGAGTTTGGACAGGGAAAGATGTCTCATTTAGGTATTTGCGAGTTTTTGGTTATCGTGCCTTTGTTCATATTCCCAAAGATAAAAGGTCGAAGCTTGATGGCAAATCCAAGCAGTGTGTATTCTTGGGGTATGGAAATAATGATTTTGGGTACAGACTTTGGGATTCTGTAGAGAAGAAAGTTTTCAGAAGCAGAGATGTGATCTTCTTTGAAGACCAGACCATTGATGATATGGGAAAAAGCGAGATGCCAAAATCTTCACCTGGGATTCTTGTTGATCTAAATCCAGTTCCTCCATAATCAGATGATTCTCCTGAAGAGGGAGCTGAGACAGAGCAGGATGGTGAGTTTGATGATGATCCTGTTCCTGAAACAGAGATACCACCAGTTTCATCACCTTCTGTTCAGCCTAGGAGGTCCACCAGAGACAAGAGACCTTCCACCAGGTACAGTGCTCATGAGTATTTGTTACTTACTGATGGGGGAGAGCCAGATTCATATGAAGAGGTGCTTAGTCATGAGCAGAAAGATCAGTGGTTAGCAGCCATGCAAGATGAGATCAAATCCTTGCATGAGAATAACACGTATGACCAGGTGAAGCTGCCTAAGGGCAAGAGAGCACTCAAGAATAAACGGGTGTTTAGACTAAAAACAAGTGAGAACAGCTCACAACTGAGGTAAAAAGCCAGATTGGTAGTGAAGGGATTTAATCAGAGAAAGGGCGTAAATTTTGATAAGATATTCTCTCCTGTTGTAAAGATGTCTTCAATCCGAGTTGTGTTTGGGATAGCGGCCAGCTTGAATCCTGAGATTGAACAGCTTGATGTGAAGATAGCCTTCCTGCATGGTGATTTGGAAGAAGAGATTTACATGGAGCAACCAAATGGGCTTCAGGAGAAGGAGAAAGAGAAGCTTGTATGTCGTCTCAACAAAAGCTTGTATGGGTTGAAGTAAGCTCTGGGCCAATGGTACAAGAAGTTTGATGCCTTTATGATAGGGCAGAGATACCAAAGGACTACAGTTGATCACTGTGTATTTGTGAAGAAATTCTCTGATGGTGATTTTATAATTCTTTTGCTTTATGTCGATGACATGTTGATTGTTGGTCATGATACTGCAAAAATTGTCAGGTTGAAAAAGGAGTTGAATAAGTCCTTTGCGATGAAGGATTTGGGTACGGCTAGACAGATCCTTGGAATGAAGATTTCTTGTGACAGACAGAATGGGAAGCTTTGGGTATCTCAAAAGAAGTATATCGAGAAGGTTCTTGAAAGATTTAACATGAACGGTGCTAAGGAAGTCTCGACTCCACTTGCAGGGCATTCTAAGCTAAGCAAAATACAGTGTCCTAAAAGTGAGAAAGATAAGGAAGAGATGAAAAAGGTTCCTTATGCTTCGGCAGTTGGCAGTTTGATGTATGCGATGGTTTGCACAAGGCCAGACATAGCTCATGCAGTTGGTGTTGTTAGTCGGTTTCTCTCCAATCCTGGTAAGGAGCATTGGAATGCTGTGAAGTGGATTCTCAGGTATCTTAGGGGCACTTCCAGATTGAGTCTTTGCTTTGGCAATGGGAAGACCATGTTAGATGGATATACAGATGCTGACATGGCGGGTGACCTGGATGGTCGGAAGTCTACTTTTGGTTACTTGATGACTTATGGAGGGGGAGCAGTTTCATGGCAGAGTAGGTTGCAAAAGTGTGTTGCTTTGTCTACTCCAGAGGTAGAGTTTATCGCAGCTACTGAATCTTGTAAGGAAGCACTTTGGTTGTAGAAGTTTCTACAAGAGCTTGGCATGAAGTAAGAGAGGTATGTGGTGTATTGTGATAGCTAGAGCACTATTCACTGAGCTAAGAATTCCACATTTCATTCGCGGTCAAAACATATTGATATGAGATATCATTAGATTCGCGATGTATTGGAGTCCAAGACGTTGTTTCTTGAGAAGATCCATACAGATGATAACGGTGCTGATATGTTGACGAAGACTGTGAGTAGAGACAAGCTCCTGTTTTGTAGACAGGAAGCTGGTTTGGTTTTACCCCCCAATTGAGGTGAAGGGGGAGATTGTTGGTCCGGTTCCCCCCTCCCCTCCCCAATTGGTAGCCCAGCAAGGTTTTAAAACCAAAAACTAATTTAGCTTTGGTTTTGAGTTTGACCGAGGGAAACAAAACCCACTCCAATTGTGTTTTTGTTTTTTAGTTTTTTCCTCTATAAAAGCAAGGCTCTGGCATAATTTTTAGATGTGTTTTTCCAGCCAAGAAGAGAAGAAAAGTTTGGGCAGCCGTGTATTGTTTTTGTACGAGAGAAAAAGAAAGAGAACTAGGGTTTAGTTTTCGGTTTAACTCTCTTTTGGTTAGATCCTTCCATTCCTACTCTGTGATAGGTGTTTTGGAAGAGTATTGTTGTAATCCACCTTTGGGTGAAGTCATGTGTATCCACCGGTTGGTGAAAACTGTTTTTCCATTATTATGATAGTGGAGATTTGACTGTTGTTACAGTCCCGTGGTTTTTCTCGATTTGGGTTTCCACGTAAATTTGTGTGTCTACTTTACTTTATCAGTTCTTGAATTAGTTGATTGTTTGGTTGGTTGTCCTATTTTATTGGTAGTAGGAAAGGAGTTTTTTTTAAGAATCGTTTTCGCTGGTTTGTTGCGTTTATACCCTTTCCGCCACAATAAATATTTGATGTTTAAAGAAAATAGAAAATTTTATGTCATTTTACAATTGGCCTTGTGTAGATTTCCTCCGTGTAGATTGACCTTTCTGTTGAAATTTTTAGGCTCAACATTTCCTAATAATTTGAAGTCCACTTTTGAGGGCCTTTGATTTCTCAAAACGTAGTAATAGAAATATAGAACTATATATTATATTCCTTTGATCACTTTAATTTGCTTCCTAGTCAACCCCAATGAACTTTTTTTTAAGCATTTTATAGCTTATCTTTTTAACTCGTACGTACTTACATCGATTCGACTCCGCAAACCCCAACAATAATAATACTTCAACCAAAACAATAAAATTTGATGGATTTTAAAACATATGGAAAGGCAAAAATGAAATAAACTAGTATTTCCTATATCCCAAAATTATTGTCCAGTTTGAAATTTCACTTTTAGTACAATTTGAGCTAGAAATGAAAACCTAAACTGGACAATAATTATGATACGAAGGGAGTGATACTTAATTAATATTCACAGGCGCTGTTAAAGTCAATATATAACATCTTGATTTTGATCATTTGGATGTTCAAATGTTCTATTAGAAGTAACCATTAAGATGGAAATCACGGGAATTTATTTATTTTTCCTTTTTCCCATTTCCCTAAACCTAAATGTTCTAGCTTGGGTGGGAGGGTTGGGTGGGTTGGTTAGGGGATTAGTATGAGAATAGTTATTATTAGGAGGTCGAGGGTTCGATTCTCGCTAGAATAATCTCATTTTGTTAAAAAAAAAAATTAATGTTCTAGCTTCTTCGCTATCCAGTTCATTTTGGACCTAAGTGATCGAAGAAATCGACAACATTTGCCCAAAGCGTAACGCTATCTCGTGATGAACGGTGACTTGTAGTAATTAACAGAGAAAATCATTAAGGACTGGGTTTAGCACCTCACCAAGTCTTTTCTAAATTGCAAATATATATTGTTATTATTTAATGACATGAAATAAGCCTACTCAATCATGTATAGTTTCCCGAAAATCTGTCCCAAAGATCTGTAACCAATTAATATAAGAGAAATGTCTATTTAAACATTGACAAGTTTTGTTTGCTGACTCATAACTGATGGCTCCATATTTTGCCGCTAATCGCGTGTTCTTCTTAGATCATTAAGATTAATGTGATCCGGAAATTAGTTGATTGCTTAAGAATCTTTCGCGTGTAGCGCATAATTAGTTTGCTAGGTATTGGTCCAAATGTTATTAAGTCGATGGCCTTAATTTGTTTTCAGCATTAATCATTTTATTTCTTGACGATTTTTAACGACGGGTTTACGAGATGTTCTATGCGTATCAAGTTTTGCGACTGATTATATATGTTTTAGCAACCACTAGGCTTAGGACTTGTTTGATAAAAATTAATGTTTAATTCTGAATGCTTGATACTGAATTAGAAATGTTGAATTCATTAATCAATTAAGTAATGAGCAATAACCTAACTTTTATTGTTTATATTTTGTACTACAGTTTCAACACCACTTAATTCATTAAGAGGTCCAGTCTGAAGTTAAAAAGTGCTTAATGGAATAAGTTTAGGCAATAATTAGTATTATCAAACAGGCCCTTAGAGATATTCAACGGGCAGTCGATCCACCTGGCAGACTCATATCAGGTTAGAACACAAATGAAACTCTATACAAATATTTACTACCGTAAATATATAATTACTACAATAACGTGTGAGTTCTAATAATTTAAAATTTTAAGCATCATATTCTATTTCATTGTGCCCAACAAAAATTATTTAACCAACCTCCTTGATTGTTTGTGTTTAATTTTTAGTTTTAGTACAAATTGTATTAAAAATAAAAATTTAAATTAGATAATTATTATGGGTAGAGAGAGTAATTTATTTTCTTTATTTTGGTATACATTTCATTTTCTACACTCCTGTGTGTCCATAACCTTTCTTTGTGACTTTAAAGTGTGGGCATGAAGCTGCCAAAGTAGGAATATGCCAAATTCGAACTTTCCAATCCAATAATATATAATTCAACTTCATTGTATAATCGTGATGGTTTAAAGGTAAATAAACTAACTTGTAGTTACAGGAATCATCTACCAAGGTTATTGGCTGCAAACACGAAATGGATTATAATCTTTTTAAGAAAAATACATGCAATTATGCATGCTAACCACCTGCATTAAATTATAATCAAATTAGGTCATATTTAATTTTTAGCTCTATAAATACGTGCTGGAGAAACCACATAAGTTGCACTACTAAAGAATACCAATCTCGCACGTAAGAAAATTAATTATAAACGGAGAAGTATCCAATTATGATGATGAAAGTTGTGCTATTACTTTGTTTCACAATGGCACTTCCTCTGGCTCATAGCCAGTGTCATGATGCTGAAAATTCCGTGCCGGAGCTCCGTCCAACCATTGCCTTACCGGTGGCAGCGAGGAGGTGGAAAAATGGTTCCAACATTTTCCGTCAAATGCAAAGCCCAAGGTAAGCAAGCTCCATTTCTATGTTCACGATAATGTAACAGGAGAAAACCCTACGGCTGTGCTCATCGCTCCGGCCGACACCACCAAGCCAGTTTCTTTAGGATTTGGATCAACCTACGTTATGGATGATCCGATAACTGTCAGCCCGGATCCGAGTTCAGAAATCATCGGCCGAGCTCAAGGCACCTTCAGTTTTGCAAGCTTAGGTGATCCGGCGCTTGCTATGGCTATAACTATGACATTTACTACAGGACCATATAATGGTAGTACCCTTACTATTTTGGGTAATAACCCTATAACCCATGCTTATCGACAAATGCCAATATTAGGGGGTACCGGAGCGTTTCAATTGGCTCAAGGAATTGCTACTGTCAATACTGTTACAGTGGATATTGCTAAACTAAACGATATTCTTGAGTACCATGTGGTCATCCTACATTACTACTAGTTCGCTTTGATGTGTTCTAGGCTCCGGCTTTTATCGCTTTGATGTTGTTCTTTATATCTTAATTGATATTCGAATAATGTGATTTACATTTAATGTCTACATATATATGTAATCCATTGAATAAAAATGTGATTTTTGATAAACTTAAAGGTTAGTATTTTTTTTCCTTCTTCTTTTTTTTTTGGGTAAATTAAAGGTTCGTATTTCCATCAAGTAGATCATATGTTTTTCTTCTACTAAATTTTCGACGATAGTGTATACAGAGTGCAAGTGATACAATTCACTGAAAATTTCTTGACGTGAGATTATTGCCCGATGATGAATTTTGTGATAACGTTTCACTGAAGAGACGATGGGTCAAAATTAATCTTAAAAATAGTTTTATGTGGGGCTACTAATTCGGTCGGTTCGGCCGTTAATCGGTTCGAATTAATTGGGTTTTTTTACTTCCTAAACCCGACCGAAAACCGACCGAAGTTTATTAATCTCCGAACCGAACCGAGCCGAATAAGCAATCGGTTTTTTCGGTCGGGGATCGGTTAACCCGAAATAAGCCAATTAGGCCATTTACAAGATTTTCACTTTTCAGTTTTCAGTCACACAGAAATTCTGAAAATGACACAAACAAATGCAAATCAGTGAAATCACTGATCACATTATCACAGTAACACAAAATACAGAAATAGACCAAGTTTCAAATCTAAATTTTCGACATTTCGAGTTTCGACTAAAAGTTTCAAACTTCAAAGTCCACACTCCACAGCAATAACACTTAACAACAATACAGCAGGACAGAAATGATCCAGAAGGCAGAAGCCACAAACAAGAATTACAGAAACCACAAACCACTAAACTAGAATTACAGAAATAATCTCCCAAAGGACCCAAACTAAGTTCATGAGCCATTAGGCATTAACTAGTTACAGAAAAAGCTTAAGTTCATAACAGAACAACAGTTCAACTTCATTATTTTATTGTTCAGTCTTCAACGTTTCAACGCTTCAATTGGCACTTGGCAGCATTGCAGGCTTGCAGCAGGCATTAGGCATTAGGCAATCAACATTCAGCAATCTGGAATTTTACGTTCAAGTCAGCAAATTCAGAAATAAAGAAACTCATGCAACAGAGTGACAGACAACAGTCTAAACTCATGCAACAGGCAACAGTCTAAACTCATACAACAGGCAATCTGGAATTTTACGTTCAAGTCAACAACCATTTAAATTTTACCTATCATTGAAGCGTCCCAACAACTTGATCACGACAAATCCACAGTCTCTGATTCACCAGCATTCATTTCCTTCTCAACAGCTGAAAAGAGGAAACACCAAAACAAACACAAACAGTCAATATTCAATAAAATGAAAACAAACAGTTAAAAAATAAAATTACACAAACTGTAACAGTTTAACCTTCTTCAATCTGTACGAGTTCTTCCTAGCTTTCTTCGACACTTTCTTCTTCAACTTCTCCCCGAAGCTAATGTTGAGTGCAAATTAAGCACTGAACAGTTTTTGGAGTCAAAGAACTCCGGAATGAATCCAATACCCTCCCACTCGTACTAAAGTAAGATTTGGAAGCCACAGTTGAGACAGGAATGGCCAAAATATCCCGAACCATCACTGAAAGAATGGGAAACCTAGGGCAGTTAACGCACCACCACTTCAGCAGATCGAAAGTTGGACCACCTGGTTCATCGTCCTCCCTAAAATACTTGTCCAATTCTGATCTTTTATCAGCCTGGGAAGCGCCACCAGCTTCTTTATTTTTCTGCTGCACCAACACCCTAAATCTTTCGCTAATCATTTCTGAAGGCTCGATATCAACAGGGGAAGGCCTTTTCGAGGATGAAGTACTAGAATCAGGCTTGGAGGAAGGCGAACTAACACTAGGTTTAGGGGCATGGATTCTCACATAATCTGCAAACAACTCATATATGGCGCTTTTAATAGTTTCAAATCTACCCTTCCCATCCACTTGTCCACTCAAACATCGACAAGTACAGCATCCAAATACCTCAACTTATTTATAGGATCAAAAACACATGCCATTAAAATAACCAGATTCATATTCTTAACCTCACCATAGTATTTATCAAACTTTCCCTTCATCATTTCAGCCATTACTTTTTGATCCTCATCATCACTTTCATTGATGATTTTCTTCAGCAATATATCAATACAAGTAAGATCAACGAAAAAAGAAGTTGAGGAGACAGATTTGGTACGAGATACCCTCAAGGTTATCTCGTAAAAATGATGAAGAATCCCAGCTACCCTCCTAGCTTCTACCCAATCCACTGCAGTAGGCAGTCCAGGACCCGAATTTGGCACTAAAGGATCATATTTCAAAGCATCTTTGTAGTGCTGATTACCAGTTTCGAATCTCCTAAAGGCTCTTTCATACTTTTGAGCAATTTCCAACATAATATATGTGGAGTTCCATTTAGTACAAACATCTAATATTAGATTCTTGGAACTACCACACTTCTCAATTTCAGCACATCTTTTAAAGCTGGCTATTCTTTTAGGAGACTGCCGAATATACTTAACAGCAACCCTAATCCTATCAACAGATTTACCTATATATGCCAAACCATCCTTAACAACTAGATTAATCACATGAGCCACACAACGATTATGCAACCATTTTGCACCTAACACACAATTTTCCCGGACAGCAAACTGCTCTTTCAGATAATCCAGACCAACATCATTAGAACTAGCATTACCAATAGTTATAGAAAAGATATTTTCATTTTCATCCCCACTCCGTCAAACATTTTTCAATTTCAGTCCGGATATCAACGCCCCTATGACTTGAAATGGGAACAAAACTTAAAATTTTTTTTCTCAAAACCCATTTATTATCCACATAATGCCCAGTCAGACACATATAATTAATCTGCTGCACAGACGTCCAAGTATCTGTCGTCAAGCAGATTCTACTACCCAGACCCTTAAGCTCAAGTTTCAATTTTGCTTTTTTAGATAAATACAGCTTGTAACAGTCATTAGCTACAGTATGTCTACCCTTAGGAGTAAACAATGGTTGCAACTTCCTAACAAAATACCTAAACCCAGGTTTATCAACAAACCTAAAAGGCAATTCATCTACTATTATCATACTAATTATTGCCCTAATGATTTTAGTTTCATCATACTTCCAAGTACTTATATTTCCCTGTTTTCCCACCCCAGACTCAACAACGAGCTTAGACTGACCAGAATCATGCTTCTGAGTTAAATACGCTTTACAAGACCCCAAATGGCTATGAAGACTACTTGTGCTATGTTTCTTAGGATCAGACATATAAGTAGTCTTACAATATCTACACGTAGCCCATACTCCACCATTAGCCAGTGTAGATTTGGAGAAATGAGCCCAGACAACTGACCTATTACAAGTTACCCTGCACCGCTTAGGAGATTTTTTGACTTTAGCGCGACGGCCTTGACCTTCAGGCTTTTCGTCTTGGTCCTTTGTCTCAATCTGGACATCTACCATCACTGAGTCATCAGTAGGCAAATCCAGCAGAGGAGGCACTGAACTATCCTCCACTTCAATCTCCTCAAGCTCATCGAAATCTTCATCAAAATCAGACATCTAAAACACAAATTAAAACAAATTAGTTACAGTTTACAGAAGCAACAAGCAACAAATTACAGTCACAAATTTCTACAAAATATGTAACTAGTCACAAATTTGATGCAACAGAACTGACTTCAGACAATCAGACCAACAGAAGAATACAAACATAGTTAGTAATGATTCTTACATGCAACTTTGCAATGAATGAAAGAATTAAAGAAGTAATATTGCATCTTTGCAACACAAGTACAGCTACAATGTCATTTGCACAACTCAAACAATGACACAAAACAAACAGTGGAAACAGTAGAAAGAAATGCCTAGCTAGAGCAGTTACAAACAACACATACAAACAACACATGCAAGCCTACAGCACCAAACAGAACACAGTCACACACAACACCACTGTCACAATCAACAATTAAGGTACAAAATGAAAGGCTATACAACAGTTTCAACAAAAGAAGTAAAGAACCAAATCTCCAAACTTGAAACAGGTGAAAATTTTACCTTATCAAACTTGAATATGAATCATGGTCCTACATATTAAAGGACACAAAAAGAAAACTCAGTAAGTAATGCTATATTATTAAAAGACACAAAAACAGTTAACTCTCAGTCCTGCAAATAGTATGATTACAATGACACACAATGCAGTTCACTATCTTTATTGGTTTCTTCTTTTTCATCATTGATTCATTTCAGAGTTAAAACAAAAGGCCAAAGTATCAATATAAGCAGACGAGCCACTAAGTTGCATCAATGTAAGACATGATTTCATAAAGACAGAAACTATAACATGCAATACTATAACATGCAAGACAGACACTATAGCATGGATCAAACATAAGACTTCCAGATCAAACACAAATGCTCAGCAAGACAGCAACGACTTACATTTTAATCAAATCTAAAACTGCTCAGCAAGAATCAGTACAAAACCCAACAAAGAAACTCCAAATAGAAACAGGACAACTTCAGACACGAACAGAAAGAAATAGAGAAACAGGACAAAATTTTAGCTTATCAAACTTGAATATGAATCGAATCCTGGTCCTGCGTATAAAAAGCCAAAAAAAAATCAGTAAATAATGCTATCAGACTTCAGTAATGACTTCGTAAAGGAACAAAACAAAGGAATGATCAACAGGACAACTTTCAGTAATGATTTTTTACCCTAGATTTGAGCTTACCTGAGAAAAATTAGAATGGAGCTCCGTCCATGTCAAAACCCCAGACCTGAGCTATCAGAATGGAATCGATCTGAGCTTCGAACCGTCGATTTTCAGAGCACTAGAGCAGCATCTCTTCGATGAATCATTTTTTCTTAAAAAAAAAAAAAGAAATCGATTTGAAAACAAAACTCTAGATCAGTAGATCTGGACCGATTGGTGTTGGTGGTAGATTGG